TCAAGTAATGCTCCAGGAAGCCGCATTAATTATTCCCAGTGAATGTTTCACTTCTTTATTGAAGAAAGGACAGGAGAGGAAGAGAAGCTAGAAAGGTGGTATCCAGGCCTTTGAGAAAGAACAACTGACTCCCTTTATTTTTACTTCTGATCTTAAAATCCTTGCAACTATTCTGAGCAGATGGGCTGCAGGTGGCAAATTGCTCTCAAGATGCTGCCTTCTTGTAACCAAACTGCATGCATCCTGGCGCACCATCTCCTGGTCCATACTTCGAGTTATCTCTACAGACAGGTGGAAGACCTGACCTCCAAAAGGGCCAGCTGCTTGGTGTCCCACACACTGCTGCAGCATTGCAGCCATTGCATATGCCTTAGTATTTAACCCAGATATTGCCCCTCAGACCTTCTAGGTGCTGTGTACACAACCTGTGCTCAATGGAATCAATCTTCTCTCCCCCATGGGAGGGCCAGAGGTCATTCTCTTGTCCTTCACACCTATTATACTATTATCCAAGCCAGCTAGGGATCTAGAGGTTATATTTGTGTTTTTCCATTCTTCTCTTTGCTTTTTATCTCCTCCTCCTCCACATACAACTAGAGTTCTCTTATCATTGATGTATGTCTCCCTACCCCATGGTCATCTCCAGCAACTGTAGTCTCCTCCTCTAGGTCCCAAACTTCCTACCTTGAACACCACCCATCCACCCAAAAATACCATCTCTGGTAAACAAATCCTCTCCCAAACCATCTCCATGGCTAGCTCACCTTCGATTACACCCTCTAGCTGGCTCCTTATTCCCATCAAACAGTTTGGCATCGTATTTGTGCCCAGAGATGTGCATGGACACATTGCTGTTTGCTCCCTGCCAGCCTCCCACTTAAATAAAATCATTTTTATCCTTCCCTCAGAATTGCTCCTGCTCTTTCTGTGCCAAGCCACCCTCCTGTTGTCCTCAAAGCTGCTCACACTGCTCCCTGGACTTCTTTCAACAGCAGCTAATGCAAGACATTACAGCACAGGAGCCTGCGCCAACACCCAGCGCACAAACAAAGACCAGATACATGAGAGGAGGGAACACACTGTCAGCATTTAATAATGAACACTAATTGCAAACAGAGGGACGGAGTTCTCCATCCCTGTTCTCTCGGCAGCCAGAAGCCACCCGAGCCAAGCGACGTGGCCATTCACAACCCAGGACCTGCTCATTGCTGAACGGGCCCTGCTCGGCAGCTCGCTGCCACCAGCCCGCTCAGTGTCTGACCGACCCACTGAACAGACAGCCCCTTGGAGCCTTCCTCGTGTCCCACCAGTGCAGACAGAAATACAAGGCCCTCAGGCAACTTCACAAGCTTTCTGGACCTGCTGCAGATTTGCTCTGCAATCCTTGTGAAGTTCTAGCTTTCCTGACCCTCTGGTTTTCTTGAGAAGATTGCCACACACCTCCCGGGACACTGCGGGACGTGCTGTTTGCAGGCCGCAACATCTCTGAGGCTCTACTGAAAGTGGCTGCAGAGGACAGCAGGCTGCTTTAGTAACATTCTTGTTCACCAGGAGGGCTGTTCTCATCACATGCCTTCTTAGCTCAGTGAGATACCATCATTTTGCCCCATTGCCCACTACTCCACACAGGATAAACAGGTTACCCCCCAGGAAGCAATCCACCTCAAGGACACTTCAGATTCTCCAAAGCAGACCAAACTCCCTCCAGCCATAATCTCTTTTTTAGGCAGCATATGCAGTTGTCTCACAGGAAATATCCCATCTTACCTTTTTATGGTGTAAAAACCCAAAAGGAACACCCAAAGAGGAGCACAGTTCCTGGTGAGGCAGTTCCATGTGACTTTACAGCCCCCGCAAAGCACCTCTTGCAGCCTCAGACCGTGTGGAGTTGCCATGAGCTGCTGAATCCCTTGAGAACACGGGGTAGTGGGCACAAGTCTGTGAGTGACTGCACCAAAGTTAAAAGCTTGGTGCTGCCAGTTGGGTGAGTCTCCCTCCTTCACACTCTTCTTTCCCAGGCCTTTCCCCCGCAGCCCGCCCTCCTCCCAAGGCCCAGTCCTGTCCTCATGCCTTGTGTTGCCTCTGGCACTCCTCACACACATCAGTTCAGCCAGATCAACTGATTAAACCAGCAGAAAACAGGTTTTTTGTTGTTGTTGTTCTTGCTGTTTGTATTTTTGTTCCCTCCAGTTAGTCTCCTGGTAGGGGGTTGACGCAACTCAGGGGTGTCCAAGGTGTTCAAGGATATCACAACCAGGCATGGGAAGACGATGGGGTGGGAATGGGAGGAGAAGGCTTCCCCTATCAGCTGTGATGAACTGCTTACCTCACCCCATGGCATTTGCACCCTGTATTTTCAATTAAGAATATAATTACCTTAAAAGTACAGCCAACTGTGAAGACTTTGCAGGATGTATTTGGATAAGAAAGTAGCAGCAAATTGGAAGGTCAGCACTCTTCCACGTTTCTGTATGCTGTAGGCTTTCAGCTCCCACAGGCATTCAAGATGAGTGCATTGCAGCTGAACTCACCATCCTAATCTATCCACCTGCATATTCAGTCCATACTACATATTGCTGTAGCCCTCACTCTTCTTCTAGGTTTTTAACCTACACAGCCCTCTTCTCTCTCTCAGTATCCATCCCTCTCCTCCGGGTCTGGGCCAGTAGGTGCATAGTTATTGGTGGAGTTATTGAGGGCAGCACCAAGAGAAAGTTTCAGCTTTTGCTTTGCCTTACAAACTCTGTTACTAGTTTTGATTATGTTTTTCAAATGAACACCCTGCATTAAGCCACATGAGCTTTCAGGCTCGACAGCACCAACCAGATTTACACTCTGTGGAAAGACAGAAGACCTGAGGTCTATTGACCTTCACACCACATTGCAAAGTCCACCTTTCATTCAAGCTTAGGTTTAATGAGATGACATGAAGAGCCTAAGTAATAGGATATAGTATTCATATGGATATGAACTGTACAAGCAAAGGCCTAGTCTGGCCTCTTTTTCTTCCTTATCCTGCCCCTTGTGTCTCACAGCTTCACCCTTTTGCCCTTGCTCTGACTCTTTCCTGATCCTCCCATCAGGTGACAATTTGAATTTTAAAGCCATTTACACTCCAAAAGGGGCATAATCAGATTTTTATCCCATACTTTTCTGATGTGACTTTTTTATTATGACATCAAGTACTGACCCATAATAAGGATGTAAATGCCCACTTTAATGTCTATTACCCATATCTGCAGATGCATATAAAATTATAGTATCATCACATAACTACATATTAACCTCTTGAGCTCCATGACAGACAAGCTCTCCAGGGAACACTGTATTCCAATTTCCAGCAGTAGTTCAGTGACAAGCAGTAGAAGTTGTACTCATCCATACCCCAAACACTCAAGGTGCCTGCAGAATGACACAGAACTCACATTCTGAATACACCAGGTACGGTGCTTTCAGTCCCCAGCTTTCTGTGATAAGAATTTGAGTCCTTCCCCTGAACAAGTACCACAGTTACATTTAAGTATACATACAGGTGTGATGTAGCTTACCCAAAATCAATTTGTGGGTTTCAGCAGAGCTGCATCTGAGTCACATGGCAGTGCACAGTCATCTCTTTACCCACAGGGAGTAGCAGAGAGAGCATAAGCTGTACAGCAACACTGTGTGTCATCTCATGCCTCTGAAGAGCAAAACATGCACTTTGCTCAGAAAGTACCCATCTTGCACAGGTGTAAAGGTGCAGTGTGTGAGCAAGGGATGATGTGGTCCACAATGCGCATGAATCAGGATACCTCAAGTGCAGTTACCTGTCCCATCTCAGGATGGTATTTGTGGAAATTCAAGGAAATTGAGACATTTCTGATTTTTCAGTTTAATGGCATCTGCTTACATCAGGAATTGGGTGTTCATCTATGAACAGAGCCTGTGAACCACACCTGACACAAGAATCACAGAATGGCTGGGGTTGGAAGGGACTATGAAGATCATCTAACTCCAACCCCCCTGCCATGGGGAGGGATGCCACCCAATGGATCAGGTTGGCCAAGGCCCCATCCAGCCTGGCCTCGAACTCCTCCAGGAATGGGGCATCCACAGCTTCTCTCAGCAACCTGTTCCAGTGCCTCACCACCCTTACAGTGAAGAATTTCCTCATACTATCTAATCTGAATCCTCTTTTAGTGTAAGACCATTCCCCCTTGTCTTGTCATTATCTATCCAAGTAAAGAGTCCTTCCCCATCCTTTTTGTAAGGCCCCTTTAAGAATCCTACAAAAACTTGCAGGAAGGGTTTTTGTTTGGTAATTTCTAAAGAAAAGGGAAAAAAAATGAAGAGTTGTTAATTTCTCTACAAGATTTAAACCTGAGAATCAAAGTAGAGAACAGAACAAAATGCAGGACTGGCAAAAGTTAATGCCGCTTTTCTTAATACTTTTCCCCTTTGTTTTCTGATGCAGCTCAGTCAGATAATTGATTGTGGTTCCAAAGACGGTCTCTGACCTTATGGCAGAAATATGAACAAAGACTTCTCATATTTTAACTCTCTACTAAACTGGGCACTGACAGGCAGCCTACCATTTGTTAAATAACAGCTGTTTTTTGCACTGTATAGTCATTGCTTTGGAGTTTGGGGGTGAGAATCAGAAGGCAACACTTGAAGCGTCAGTGCAGGACATGTCAACAGTCACATTGTCCTGTGGTGTTCAGGTAAAAGTATATGCAGTGCAACTGCTCAACACCAATTTTTCACCTACCTATTGCTCTTCTTCAAGTCATAGTGGACAACCTATTTCAAAGCAGATCTTCGGTGAAACCATGCATTTGGCCTGTCCTTTGCTTTCCAATTCATTTCAAAATTAGGAGTCATAGATATTTACAGAGAGAAAACATATTTTGGGAAGCCATAATATCCTGTAAGAAAGCTCCAGCACAAAGTGAATAGATACCAAAAATCCCTAGCTTAAAAATAAATTTTATATAATAAATATATATATATACATACACTTATGTATGCATAATTTTATATATGTATATACACATCCGGTTACAGATACAAATATTCAAAAGTGAAGAAATGAACTGCCATCCTAATTCATCCCTCTGCACATATGCATTGCAATAACATCAAATCAAACGAGCACACAGTTTATTTTCTATGAACTCCAGCCTCATACAGAGCACAGAGCACACACCTCTGGGGAGGTGAGGTCTGAGAAGTCCGAGAACTGAAGGAGATTGGGTCTGACTATCTGCTGCTAAAGACAGAAAGAACACAGACTGAAACTGTCAAAAACAAAATTATTGTGATGAAAACAAGTGACCACCAGCCCTGGAGAGATGCCTGCCTGCCACCTCTCTGAGGCCTGAGAAGCAAGAGAGATACTCCAACGAGGAGCACAGTGCTCCTCACCTCATTGGCACGTTGTGGCTGGATTTCCAGAAGCTCTGAGCACTCACAGGTGCCATGGAACTTAGTAGGAAATTGATTTGAATCTACAAAAGGTTACAAATTAAGCCATTCCAAATTGCCCATTCCTTGGTACCTCATCTTGGCCCCCCAGCTCCCAAGAGACAATCCCTATTTTTTGTTTTATTCATTCTGCATTCATCTATAAAATAAGGGTGACAATCATAGCCAAATTCCTAGCACATAAATAAACCCATTAACATTCTAAGCTACTACAAGCAGGAGGCACCCCGAAGAGACTGACAAGGATTGATGGAATTGGAGCCTGGTTTGTCGTGGAAGCATGAAATTTCCACTTCTTTCTTTCTTTCTTTTGTTAAATAACACACTTTGTTTAAACGTCTAAATAAATGGAAACCCAGGAAGCGTGTGTCTTGCAGTCATGCAGCATCCCCAGCGATGTGGTCAGGAGGATGGGAAACGCCACCAGCTCCAGGGTAGCCCCATGGCAGTCCCTGCGCTGGTTGAGTGCATGGCCACGACAGCCCTACATCATCCCACGGGAATCCAAAAGGAACAGCAAGGGAGAAAAAGCACATGAAAGCTTGGCCTGCTGCTGATTTCTATAGGCAACTTTTGTGATGACACTGGACAGACAGGAAAGAAATCACAAGATTTCTTTCACTCACCACACAATGCCGAGCATCAAGAGCATCTTCACCTCTGGCTTTCTCAAAACAGGAGTGTGTGTTTCCCCAGGGAAAGGGGGAGTGAGGGGGAAATCCACACATTTGCAAACTATGTTGTGAAGCAGGATGAAGAAGACTCCTAAGGCAAGGTTGGTGAAACTTTCGGGAAGAGTTCTCCAACTAGAGTTCTTCCGATATATTGCAATTTTAAAGGTGTTCTGCAAAATCCCTGTTTCATTTCCCTAATGGCAGCACCTCCTGACTAAAGTATGCTCAAGTCTGCTCTTGTTCTCGTCTTTAGGTATGTCCCTGTCACTCCCCAATGGGATTGAATGAAATGAATATCACTTAGCTTTTTGAAACTCTATATACTACTTTATACAACTTTTCATTAAAAAAAAATTAAGTAACTGCCGTTACTGAAAAATTTGTTGACTTTGGTAGAGAACAAATTTTGTACTCCTAGTTATGAACTATCGTTTATTTAGCTGTGTGAAATCCTCCATGAGCACATAGTAAGTCTACCTGTATTCATTTGTAGTTTCAGGTGATTCTCTGAGCTGGAAAATTATAAAATGAACATGGTCTGAAAAACTCCAGTAGAAGATAAAAAAAACACCACTTGGATGGGACCCCACAGCCAGCCCGGCTACTGAAGTTACCACCTGCTTTTGCATGTAGAACTAAGGGTATGTGAAGACAAACAGAAAAATCAGCTTAAAAAAAAAAAAAAAGACATCCCAATTATCAAATGAAATGCTTCATTACAAAGAAAAAATGCAGGTAGGTGTAGTACAGCATCTGACTATTTTTGACTGTTACCCACAGCTCACCATATTTGTCAAACCGGGGCACATCCTGTAAGACAATCTGTTCTTAAGAGCTCTTTTCACCTTCCTCCCAACAAAAATCAGCACATCCGACCAGAAACACTTCCCAGTTCCCAGAGGTGTGGCTTGCAGATGAGAGAGAAAAAAAAGCAACATTTCTAAAAATTGGAAAACAAAACAAATTAAAAGGACATGCATAATATTGACAACTTGAAGCAGTTTCTAAAAGATCTTGATCTTTGTTTAAAAGCATTCAATCAGTTTGGGTTCTAACTTTTCACAATTTGTTTGTGGGAACAGTTAATGTAGAAGGAGCCCTACTTCCACAAGTATGTATAGCTGTCAATTTGGGGATGAAAATACATGCAAAAGGAAATTCAAAGTCCACTGCTCATTTGATCTTTGAAGCCACTGCTACCGTGGTTAAAAAAATAAATAAAAGAATGAGGCTAATCAATCTTAAAAGGATGTTAGTGTTGGCAAAATAAATGGATATCCATTAAAATATCAATTGGAACTGACCTACTCATTTAAATGAAATCATTTTTGGGACTGGGTAGATCTGAAGTGGTGACTTGGAAGTGAAAGACTACTTAAGAAACTCTGGAATCTTTTCAAACTCCAAACAGGGAGCATCACAATTGCCTAGAGATGACATCATGACAAACTGGGAAACAAAATCATTGAAAAAAAAAAAAAAGAAAAAAAAAAAAAAAAAAGAAAGGACATAAGTGAGTTACCTGAACTCCTTGACTTCCGTAACTTCCTACAGACCCTCAGCTAACAGCTTATATTTAAGAAAACTGTCAAGGAAGCATGCAAATTATGGACATTGCAGTCCTGTAAATCTACTTCAGTGTCACTGTACCTTCTCCTACTTTCAACCCAGTTTGTTTTGTATCAGATACAACAATTCTTTCATAAATTGATTTATTTCCAGTTTTTATAATCAGAACAGAGATTCTGCAAGACCCTTGTTCAGAGAATACATGTTTAAGACAAAATAATACAAGCAAGAATCTTATTTACATGTTACCCCCAAAACAGAGTCCTAAGAATCCAGAGTCTATTAAACAGTTAAATCTTATGACCACGTACAACATTTGTGACATGTACAATGTGGCTCGTTACAGGTTTTGAGCAGTAGACCTGTTTGTGAACTCTCTAGGTAAGCTGTCTGGGACAGAAGGAAGCTAGACTGAAACTGATGGCTTTGGCTAACTGTCTGGTGTCACCAGACTTGAAAGAAAACTCAAAGGCTTCAGCAGTGCCTAGGGGCTCAAGTCAGGCCAGACCAGTCTCAGCTCACGGCACTCACACACCATGCTGGACAACAACAAGAGGTGCTGGCATGAGACATTAATACTACGTCCAGGGCTTGGGATTTGATTCATAAAATAGGTTAGGTTGGAAGGGACCTTAAAGATCTAAGCAACAATTTGAACGTGGCATTATTCCTTCACTATATCTTACATCTATTTTGGAACAAAGATAGCACGATGTATTTCAAAGCTGCACTCCACAAGGTCGCTGCTCCGTAAAGTTGTACAAAAAGTACAAAAGTTAGAGCACAGACTCCCAGAAAAGCACTTCCTCTGGTCACAGCATCTCCTCTCAGGTGATTGCAGCACAACTGTTCCACAGGAAGAAACCTCCCGTCTTGCTCTTTTGGTGTGATAGTGAAAGCTAAAAGCCACCACCAAGACACTTCTACTGAGAGGCAGCTTTTTATGCTACAAAAGAGGAAAGATGCAACTATCCTATCAGGGTAATAACCCACCAATGCTCTTCCTTCACTTGTCTCCAATTCCAGTGCAATGTTCACAGAGTTGAATTTAAAAAACTGAGACAAAGCTGCTGAAGCTAAGCATGAACATCCTGAATGCCACCCTGAGACAGCAGCCAGTACAGCAAGAACGAGGAAGTCCTCAGCAAGGAGCATCTTCCACCGAGTGATCATGTGTCTCAGCACTGCACACTTGTATGTCATTGTACTGCTCAGAAATCAACAAGCGTGCAGAAATGATGCATCATTTCAGATGGCAGAGGTAATTTTTTCTCATCTTTGCACCTTCCCATGCAAATTTCAAGACAATTTTTTTAGTAACACCATAAAACTTCCACCACCATGGTTTTTCTCTCTGTTTGCCAAAATACTTCCCATTTTTCAACAGATCTCTACAACATAGAAAAAAAAGCCAAGCCAGACTTCTCCGAGATTCTAAACCAGAAGCAACTCTCATTTCATGTAGACAGTAAAATTGAACAAAAGTGACTGGAAAATCCTATAAAATTGACCATTCCTTGCCTTATAGATGCCTCTGTATTTATCTCAGTGGTTTATATTTGGCTACAACACTCTTTCAAGGAAGCTGCTGCTGTCTTCAAAGCAAAGCCTGAAGATACAAAGAACCTACTGTTTCCACAGTGCTTTGTTCCATGGTTAATTTGTCCTTACTGTTCAAACCTCACACCCTATTTCTACCTTGAATTCATCTGACTGTGGCTTCCAGCTTATTTTTATGCCCATCTGCTGAAGATGTGAAATGCTTTATTTCCTGGTATTTCCACTTCCATTGGGGGCTTTCTACTACACAGGCAAGGCATCTCTGATCCTCTTCTGATAAAAACAAAGAGACTGAGCTCTTAAGTATTCTGAATTAAGATCCTTTAGTCCAAAATTGCACTGTAATACAGCTAAAGAAACATGGTGCATTTCAGAATAATAATAATAATAAAAAAGATTATTATTTCTAGGAGTCTGTGCATTGAAAAGCAGCTATAAGAACTTTAGATCGAGTCTGCTGCCTCCATACCAGCGTTATGGTAGCGTTACAGCAGTGTCTGGACAGCAAGGATTAACACGATGTGTGGTTACATGAATATATGAAGGCTGAATAGCAACAGGCAAGCAAGATTTCCTGCCTCTGTAAAGAATACTTTGTGCAGACACTAGAACTGAATGCAGATGAATGTGGAATACTGGGTATTTTCATGCAGGAATGGAATTAAAAGGCTGAATGACAAGTTTTATAGTGTGAAGCTTATGAATAATGACTTACATGTGTTAATGGATTACAAGTACTTGTTGGCTGTGTATAGCTAGTTATACAAGACAAAGAAGCCTAGTTGTAAAGGAAGAATAGGACTTCCCAAGCTTGCTGGAAAAAAGCATAACAAGAAAAAGCCAGGATGATGATATCTAGGAAAAGAAAAGATGCAATTTCCTAATACGGAGGGCAATTAATAACAAAAACTAAGGAAGATGAGTTACTGCTTACTTGAAGCTTCTGAAGTCAGATTACTTGTCCTTCTAAAAATATAATTAAATCCAGTTGCAGGATACCATAGCTAAAAGGTTCAGAAAAAACTTTCTCCAGCTTTGAAGAAAGTTAAAGTCTTTTTTGTTACCTGGCACCATGGCTAAGAGAATGTAAAAGGGAGGTCTCGCTATGTAATTCCTTTGTTCTCAGGTACCCCCTAGACATCCAAACCTGGCCACTGTGAGACAGAATACAAACTAGACAGACCTTCAGCCTGACCCAGTGCAGCCTTCCTTATGCTGTTCATCCCATTCCTTCAGAGGTTACAAGGAAAAGAGGCCAGCTTTGCAAAACCCTGATCATCCTCATAATACTGGCAGCTCTGCTTTAAGACAATGAATACACTGGGTCACACACGCAGGGGTCAGCAATACTTTTTCCAATTACTTTCTGCAGATATATGTATTTTGCTTCTTTCTTTCATATAAAAGAAGCTGTACCTGTCCATTTTCTACTTCTACCAATTCTTTGAGTTGGTGCAAGAATTCTCTTTCTGGGTGTGCCAGTTGGCACACTATTCTCAACACACTACAGTCGCACTAACAGCCAGGTCTGCACTTGGGAAGGAATTTTACCTGCATTAAAATTGTGATGTACGTTGAGGGTTCCCTATGTCTCCACAACACAAGTCTGTTACCTCACTGAGGGTTCCAGGAACTGGTGCCAGTTCAGTCTCACCTGCCTGTGAGTCAGTTTACTTCTTTAAACAATGAGATGCTTTGGTATAATTAAGAGGCTATGTTCTCTCTCTGTGCCAAGCTCTGTCCTTGTACTGAGTAAAAATTAATGGCTTAAGAATCTTGTCTTGCCTTATGTAAAGCAAGTAGCCCCTTATGTTTTATACTCTAAGAAACTTTACTACATTTTAAGGTACAAAAGCAGGATGTCTCCAATGCAAACACAAACTGGAATAGAAAGCAGTATTACAGTGAGAGCAGATTTTTGTCCTCCTTTGATATTCCCCTAAAATAGTATTACTACTATAACCAATACTCCTACTGAAGTACATTTTCTGAACAAATGACTGGTAGCAGCGTTTACTTTTGTTTCACTGAAATTTTTCTGGTTCAGAAACTGATCCTGAAGACAACAAATCAAAGTTCTTATCCACTTTACATAATTTCTTTTCAGTTTCCTGGCACATATGTTGTGGTTTTTTTGTAGCATGTTCTTTCTTCAGTGCAGAGGGGGATTACAGTGTTAAAAAAGACACACAATCACTCTCACTGCTGCCCCTCCACCTATTTCCCTTCTCATCCTCTGCCCACCGAGCAGCTGTCCACAACATCCGCAAGGTAACAGCATGAGCTTCTGCAATTTGAAGGACAGCACTAGCCATCTCAGTGTCATTATTCAGGAATGGTAGCAAGACACACCTCTGCACAGCACAATCACGAAGCTAATCTATCATTCCGTAGCACTACTCCCAGCCTCTTATGAGTTTCTCTCCAGCTACTGTTTTGCTGCTTTCTTTGCTCTTTACTGCACCTTATCTTAAAATCATAAAACCATTCTTTTAATTTGCACCTCTCCAGTACCTACTAAACTGGAACTTAAGCCTCACTAGAGCTCATTGGAACTACTGGAAACGTGCAAAGAACAGCCACTTAAATGTATTCCTCCCAGCTCTTTCTCTTCTACTGAATGTGCACCTTCTTGCCACACATACACAAAATTCTTTTTGCATAAGAGTGTCATTATGAGCTGGTCTCCATAATCTTTGAATACTTGGGGGAAATTGCATGATGTGACAGGGGCAAGAAGGGCAGTATATTGTGCCTCTTTCTAAAAAGGCATTGAGGACCACCTGGGGAATGACAGACGAGTGAGCCTTACCTCAGTCCCTCATAAGTTTATGAAGCAAGTTCTGGAAGCCATTTCCAAGCATCCAAAGGACATAAAGGTGACTAGGAACAGGCAGCCATATTTAACAAGGGAAAATCATACCTATTAATCTGACTGCCTTCTAGGATGAAATGACAGGCTCTGTGAAGGAGTGGAGGGCAGTGGACGCTGCTTACATGGACCTCAGCAAGCCTCTTGCTGCAGTCTCTCACAGCATCCTCGCAGCCAAATTGGGGAGCTATGGAGTGGACGCAGCCCAGTATGAGAGGTCAGTGAGAAACTGGTTGAACTGTCCGGCTCAAAGAATAACGAACAGTGGTTTGAAGTGTACATGGTGCCAAGTTATGAGAAGCACGCCTCAGAAGACAATACTGGGATCGATGCTGTTCAGCATCTTCATAATGATGTGGAGAACAGAACAGAACATACTCTCAAAGAGAGAAGGAAAATATGCCATAGACAGGGGGAGCTGCTGATATGATAGAGGGCAGGGATACCACACAAAGGGACCTTGACAGCCTGAGAAGACAGAATCCTCCTGAGTTCCAACCAAGGTAGATGCAGATTCTTGTACCTGGGACAGGTTTAAGAAACCTGCCTTGGAGGAAAAGAGATGAAGCAACGAACCCACTTCATTCATTTAAGAACGCTGCAAGTATTCAAAACTGAATGAAGCTACTGGAGTATGAAGATGAATTTAGATAAACACCCTGGAGGAACAAGATGAAACATGACATGTGATTCATATAGCTTGTCTGCCAGTCAGGAGAATCAAATTTGGTTGAGAGCCTGACTGACCTACAAATGGATTCCAACGTAGAAATAGGAAAGACAGGGAAGCACAAGAATTTAGGTCTCCCAGCACTTCCAGGAAGCTGCCATAACCAGAAGCATGATTAATCAAGACAAGGCCTGCTGTAGTTACTCTTCAGTAGCACGACAGGTACATTCAACCTTTAAAGGCAAGGAGGACCTCCTAGGAAGCTTACAACCTTAGGGCTTACTCAGATGAACAGTGCCACTGACCTCAATAGGAAAATCTGATGATAATTTATCTTTCACTGCCCCCAGAGGAAAATCATGTGAAGTCTGGTGTCCTTCCTCCCAAGAGGGAGATGAAGGCTGTCGATTCCCTAACACCTCTTGTAAAGGTTTTAAACTGTCCTGCCACCACAAAAGAAACAGTATTGCTCTGAAGAATCTTGCTGTATCAGAATTGTTCTAAAAAAGGGGAACATAGAAGACCAGATTTTAAAACTGCAACTAAATGCTTGGTAACTGGAATGAGTCTGTTAAATAGACTCAAACCAAGAGAGGTTGTGGAAGAGCCTTCATGAGACAAATACTGAATTGCACAAATGCTCTTTCAGGGGACCACTCCCTGCAAGTTGGGTTACAAAGCTCTAAACCAAAAATTTATTTGCTGGCTGTCAGGAGAATGTGACCACCATTGCCTTCACTGTGCTCACAAGTACAAGACAGACAATTGCCTACTTTTCAGGTTTCCTTCCTCTTTATAAATTCTAGATCACAGGCCCTCCAAGTGTTTAGATTTCTTCCATTACCTCTCAAGCATCACTGAGCCAAGTGCTCCAAGTACAAAATAAGACAATCCAAGGGCTTCTTTAAAACAGGAACACTCCTCATTCCACAAAGCCTTCGCTGCTTGTCCCATAATCCAAACTGACCTCTGTACACCTTTGGCAAGGTAAAAAGGCTTTCCCTGTTCTAAATAGTTCTAAAATGTACCACTAAAAACAAAATAATATTTTGAGGGGGATTTGCATGGGCAGATCTGACAGTTTGCTTGGGCTGCGAAATATAAATCCAATTTGGATCCCTCCCCACGAATAAGTAGGTATTAGGGGATCAGACACAGGCCGTGTGTCTGTAATGTAACTGTATTTGTCAATCATGATTTAGACTGAGCTGTTCAATTTTTTGTTTTGTATACGTTATGACCATTTAACATATTAATACATAATTAAATATAAAACACTGCCTTATAGCTTTGAAATCAAATCTGTCCCTCAGCTATTTGATTTAAAAGGGAGAGGCAAACACTGTAAAACCACTAAAAACACTGCAAAAAAATGGTAAAAACAGTGCTAACTGCACTTCCACATTCAAAATGAGTTTTACAAGCTTCAGTTGCCCTGTCTGGAAGCTCCACCCAGAGAGAAAAACAAAAGTAATTGTGTTAATACAAATATGTCTTATTTTTAAAGGACTTGGGAACCCATGAGGCCATGGGCCCTTTGACATGTGCTATACAGGTATATATCCTAAAAATTTAGCCCAAAATAAATTCCAGGCAGAGTAACTCAATAAAAGTACATGTAATGTGATCAAGAATAGATGAAAAAGAGGGGAGAAATCACTATCCGTATATTCTGCAAGAGAGAAGGTAACAGAGGACCAAGTGCAAGCATTACAAAGAGAACAGAATCTCTTCTGTGCATGCTGCAGAGTAAAGTACAATCAACAGCAGGTGGAGACACCTCCAACAGATAGAGCAGACAATGCTTTTTTGAAGGGAGTGAGAACATGAGACAGATATGGTCTGATCAGTACCAAGAAGGCTTTGAACACAAGTGACACTTTAAATCTTTTTTTGTTGTTGTTGTTGTTCAGTTACATGGTAACTTCGATGGAAAATGTCCTGGGAAATGCAGACAGTCTCTTTTGAAGTTAAACACTGAGAAACAGAAGTTAGATATAACCTCTACCATACTTGAAGGATATTTGAGGGCCCAGGTTCCTTTCCATGACACCAGCTTCCACGTTTATGTCCAAGTGGTTCTTCCAAATCCTTATCCAGTAGGAAATTTAGGAAAGAACATGCACTACACAAAGCAAGATGAAAGACATTCAGAAGAAGGGAGAAGGAAATGGACCATGCTGTCAGTGAGCCTGGGGCAATTTCTGAATGGACAAGCACTGTATTTGCTTCACTAGAAGCAACATGGTTTGAGTTCATTCACACATGGCCTAAAAACATTCTGCTACTACAGAATTCAGGTTCCATGTTTCATCTTGTTAGCATTCCCTCCTAATTCCCCAGCCAAGAAGTCTTCCTGGCCTTGGAGAAAGCAGGGGGACTTTCACACAGAAAATGCCAAATGCAGTAAATAAGCAACATGTCCATGGGTGAATATAGACCAAGATCTGAAAATCCAAAAGATTCTGTATACAACCCAGCACATAGGAGCTGGCATCAGGGAAGGAGATGAATGCATAATAAATACAGCAATAGCAAGAACAGTTTAAAAAGTCACTGCAGTCCCAACACTGATTACCTTTTTTTAAACACAGATTCACAAACATCGTTTAGATATGCAGGGCACGCAGATCTATCTGGACGATGGCACGCATCACGTGCCGATACTGAAGATATCACTACTGCCAAACAAGATGTTTGATGAAGACATACACCAGAGTCAAACACTCCCAAAATCCAGCAAGCTTTTACAGTTGCAATGGTTTCTTTTAGCTGTATCCGGGGCTCTTCTCTGGCGGCATTTTAAAAAAGTTAGTGGAGGCAGCAATAGTGGCTTTCTCAGCTGCTGGTGTTTTCCCTGTCCACTCAGAGTTCTGGGATCTCAGGGATGTTGTTGCTGGTAGGTCTGACTCTGCAGCATCCGTGTGCACAGATAAAGTCGCTGGAATATAAAATTGCAGGAAAGGGGGAGCAGAGGAAGAGAATAGGAAAAGGAGATTAAAAAAAAAACAAGTTAGAACAAGTGATTTCATGGCAAACTCCTCATATATATCATTATTTATATAAGGGTGCTATTGACTGAGTTCCTGCAAGTTCTGCCCCCTCCAAATTCTTTGAAAGACAGGTTCTTGAGAGCATTAGCATTCTTGCCCTGATGATTCCCACATGTAGAATTCCAAGCTACCACTAACCAGTCCCCTTAGTCAGAGTTCCTATTGAAAATCAACAAGTCTCTGAAAACTTGACAATTTTCAGGTTGAAAAGCTCAGTTAAAGAAGAGAACATAGGTCACCATCAATACCAATGGTACCATGAACCTCCACATACATCCAATGTGGTAAATCAGACTATTAGAACAAGAAGCTACCTGGCTAAGCTAGGCTGGAATCCATTCCCATTTTCTCAATACAAATGCTGCTTCAAAATGGGACAGGCTATAATTAGCAGGAAGAATTTGCAAATCCACAGCTCAACCAACCAGTAACCCAAATTTCTAGAATGATTGCAAGAAAACCTAGAAATATGAGAGTTTGCTCCCATTCTCAGTATCCTGAATTACAAGCAGAACAGAGTAATGTAATAATTGTGTTTTTATTACAAGCTGCTTCTGCTGCTCTGCAGTGGATGGAGGATAGAGGCCGTAATAAGCCACAACTAGAGGACTGACTGCTTTGAAGTTTAAATAAAAAAATAGCATCAATGGCTGAGGTTCCACACTCAGTAGACCTGGATCCCAACAATCTTGCTCCTGCACATCCAAAACAGTGAGTCATTTCCACACAACCACAACAACGCAGCTGATAACAGCACACACTGTGTTTTACTTGTAGCCCATTGATTTCCTCCATCTGAACATTCCCAAAAAAAAAGAAAAACTAAGCAAAAGTTTAAGCTAATAATCACCACCGATATTACACCACTAGCAGCCTCCCCACTTGGGCTCTTCATCTTTGATCAAAGAAAAAAAAAGCAGGCTTCTTATTATGGGGTGCCATCACAGCATGGGAACAAGCAAATGCATTATCAAGAAATAAAGGGCAAAATTCACTAAATCGCCACTACTCAGACTGTTCTTTAAAATTTCAGAAGCAGTTGTTACCTTTTAGAATTTTTTGAATTACTTTATAAGTATGAATGCACGTCAAGACAGACAAAATCTATTTATGAGGATTTTTCCTCCAGACTCTCCCCTGCAGTAATAAGTGAATAAGATGTGAATTTCCACACACACTGCTACGTGTGTAGGTGACTAAAGCACACAACTGCTGAACACCTCAGTGGGAAGCTGGACAACTGTTCACTACGTATTTCATGACCATCTATACTAGTGGTCTGCTCTGAAAAATGGAAGACAGATGTGACAATCTTCATGAGATCCCTTTCAAGCTAGAGAATAACTACAATGAGAAGGAAGTTTTACAAAGCATTTTTGAGACAAGCTCTGCTATGCCCCAGGGGACATTATTCCAAATATATCTCACTGAAACTGAGTTTACTGAATACAAGGACACTACCCTTGTGTTTTGAAGCCCCTAGCCTTAGATCACTGAAAATCTGAAGGATTTTTATCACCACAGACTTTCCACTTCCGTAGGCATGATTGTTGGTCAATAAATTGGATGAACTTTTCATCTAATCCAGCACAGCCACTCTTTCTCACCGCCAGATTTTCTTATTCTACTGCCAAACTACACCAGTCAGACTTTTGTTCTTGCTTTGTGGAAGCCTCATGCTTTAGGGCTCTCACACTGCTGAATCACACAGCACAGAAAGCACGAACTTTAATTTTCAATCTCTCTCAACACTTGCATGTGACAACTTATTTTTGGTAGTAACAGTCATCCCCTGACGTGCAAATGAATTTTGAATTTTCTGGCAATTTTTTTTGTTGCTCTCAGCATCCAGGCCTTTTTCCAAAATGTTATTCTTCAACCACAGCTGTGGTATTTAGGCTAATTAGTCTCAAAGGGTGGACAAATAATGGAAGTTTAATGCTGTAACAATAGAGACCTAGGCACTTCTGCTACAACAATACATGTTTTTTGATGTTTATACAAAGGTCTCTAACAAAGCATCCTTTACCAGAACCCATAACTACTGTCATAAAAGCATGTGAGTAGACACGGAATAAACCTAGTTTGCTCGGCTCCCAAATAAACCTATCTCCCTCTCCTTTCTCTCATTCCTGCAATTAGAAGGGAGCTAGCATCTACATCTCATATTCCTTTTATTAGCATCTTCTGATTTCAGCCAAATTCAACTCAAAACTTTCAGTGGATGGCGGTGGCGGGGGAGGCGACAGGGGAAGATTTGTAGCTGCATGTTTAAGAAAGAAGCTAAATTCATCACAATGACAGGGGAGAGTGTTGGCAGAGATTTGAGCTATTTATTCTTTTAGGAAAATCCTATAAAGAATGACACGAGGAAGCCTCTATCTGCAGTCTTGTTCATCACACTAGTGAGGAGTCCGATAACAGATGTATGCAGTAGCGTGATTTAGTGCCGGGAGCTGGCCCCTGATGTGTATTAATACAGCGGCAAAGCGGAACGAGCCCCTCTTCATCACTCATCTCTATAAAAGAGGTGGAATCCGAGATGGCCCGATGTTCGGCAGAGCAAGCCCATTTGTTCTGCTGACTGATGGAGCCAGCTCAGGCTGTGTCCTTCACCTCCATGGGGCACTCAGGTTGCAAAAAAGGAGATCACTGAAGCAGGACCTGGTCAACAAGTGAGACGGGAGCAGTTGGACTCAGCTAAGAATCTATTTAAAAGTGAAGAAATCCAACACTGTGTGTGCCTGCAGTGACAGTCATGGGCTTGCGTTCTGATTCACCCATGTTTCATCTTTTGAAAAAGGAGTAAGACACCACAAACAGAGCCTCTGTAGTGAGAAAATGAGGCTGCCATGATTCCTCAGGGTCAGGGAAATCCAGGGTAGGACATTTATGGAGCGATGAGTAAATGTATACAAGGCAGAAAAATCTCCATCTGCCTCACCAACGTCTAACAAGTCTAAGAGGCTTCAGTTAATTCTACATTACTGCAGAGTAATCCTGTGTTATTTCTTCAGACATTAGTCATTCTGCAGTCAGATCACCTTCGGTGGAAATAATATCAGTTTTTAGAAGTTTCCAAGTTACATGCCCAGGTTGTGCTCCAGCAACCATGTGCATTTGAGAGACTTCTGTAGAAAGTTAGCTAGGACTCAGCTGCAGTTACCCTATCACTTGAGTTTCTTTCTGCAAGCACTGTAGCAAACCCTGCCCATCTGTTAATGTTGCTGGGGCTGTTTATAAACAGGGTGTAAGGCAGAGCTCTTTACCATTTCTACCTTTAAAGATCCTGCAGCACTTCTCTCTTGATGATCATCACAAGCAGCTTGCCCAGCTTCCCAGCAACTACACCCTCCTTCCTTAATTTGCAATACTGTTTTTCACCCTCATCCTCCCTAAAAGATTGTCAGACATCTGTGCTATATTCCATTGCTGAGTTCCACTCCAGATGCAGCTTCAGCTCTGTAAAAAGATGTTCACTATACACTCTGCCTAATCAGTTAAGTAAAATGCACATAATATTTTGAAACATGCATGCATTAAAAAGTGGAAGCTCTCCCTATAGAGCATGAGCAGCAATGCAGTACAGAAGTTACACTTTGAACAAAAACTACACAGACAGGTAAAAACATCTCATAATGAGACACTAGCATTCATACCAAGAAAACCTAATACCTCAGAACTAAAATTCTGTGGCTACCATACACGATTTTACTAACCCTTTCACTTCAGAAGTCTGAGTACGCTAACACGAGATACTCAAAAGCTAGGAAAGAACATCCCAAATAAACTGTCAATAACAAGTAAGACTTCTGCTGAGCAACGGATTATTAATGTTCTTTTCTTTTTTAATATGGAACCTTTTAGGCAGTCTGCACTCCAGACCTATCACTTGAGGGAAGAAAGTTGTACTATCTCTTATTTCATTATTCTACTGTCTATCACCAGCCCAACAAAGAAACCCAAACCTCATTTCCCCCTATTCATCACCAGTTTCTTTGGCCTTTATGGTTTTCACATCACCATTTTTCCCATCAGTTCACCCAATTCTTTGTCACTGGATTACAACCATAGTTTCTTAATGAGCTAGTTGCGAGACCATCAGTCACTTGATAGCAGGCAAAATATTTTAAGAGGTAGGGTAGGCTGAAAGGCCAGAAGTCAGTCTCCTAAAACCTTCTGTGTTCTGTGGATTTACACTTTTAAAGATTCTGATGAGTAATCACTTTCCAGAATTAAATCATAGGAAAACACTACACACCCAGAGCAAGAAAAAGAAAAAAATTGACTACTTTCACCCATAACAGTAAGACAACTCCAAGGGAGTTAGGTCTTCTCAACTAATGATCATATAAAAATTACCATATTTCTGCTCCTGCCAAAGTGTCCAGAGGCATAATGAAAAAGGGCACAAAGCCACCAGCTAATGTCAGCCCAACACTGAAGGCACACACTGTGTACACCAATCACCTTCTTATTACCATATACTGCATAATTTAGGACCAGTGGAAATAACACCTTCTGGCAAAACAGATTATTAGCCCCTGCACAGTGGAGCATTAAGTTACCTTACTATAACTACACTATGAAAGATTTGTTTACTTGGCAGCTTTTGATGCTCCACAAAACACACATGATATTCTCTTACATGTTGCCTTTCTCTCACTTGTATTTTTAGTTTCAAATCAAGGTAATGCTATTTTTGACTGTTCTGACTCTGGCACTCTGCCCAAGAGGGACACAACTTTAGAAATGCTGGCAGACAGATAAATCCAGGTTACCTGATGTTGGGCTGGATGTGGAGGCTGCAGCTGGCTTTCGTTTCCTCTTGATGTCCCTTGAGCATGGTGGTCCCAGGTGTACATTTGCTTGCCTACAGAGAAATTAAAACAGCCAGTTAAACTCTGTTCCAGCGTCACCTTCCCTTGAAACTCTGGCCAGTCATCCTCCAACCCTCCTCCACAACAGCCTCTTAATCAATAGTTAATGTGAACCACAAGCTTCTCAGGGAAGTTTTCCTCAGATTTTTTGTTAACATAACATTATGCTCACACTTCTTTTAAGAGCACACAAAAATAAACTGAGCAAAATAATAATTATTTCCTAGCAATTAAAGGATCTAGTTTTGCATTCACTTTTAAATAACCTTTGCATAAGTAAAGACAAGATCAAGCAGAGATATGAGACACCCTATCATTACTTCTATACAAGTCTAAAAAATGTCTGCAATGTTGCACTGAAGAAATTACAAGACATTTATTCCCTTATTCAGAAACTAAACTAACTTAAACATATTTAAAACTGTAGTCATCTTACAAAGTATGTATAGTCTAAGTGTCCATGAATACTATTTCTACTGTAACTGTAAGTTCATATAGTTAGAAATGCAAAACTGTTTCATGAATTTCCAAAATCATGATTTCCTTATAGAAAGTGCAGTGAAAACAGCTGGATCTGGCTTGCAGTATCATCACCTCGCTGCACCTGTAAGATAGCTGAAAGGCATAATCTGTCCCAGTCACATCAGCTGTTGAGTCTGAAGCCTACCAATGACCACTTTATTAACCCTTTGCCAACTAAGAAGAAACCTGCCTTACAAGGACATGCTTGAACAGAGCCATCCTCCAGGTTCCAGACTTAGGAAGAACTGAGGTTTAATTCAGAAAAGACAGTCTTGGCAGCAGTCCAGAGAACCTTCTCAAATACAATCCATAATGAATACAAATGCATAATTTAGCAGTGATGTTGGATTCAAACCCCTGCTTTGTCTGAGATAACAGAATTTCTTTGGCAAGTTGTTTGGTTGCTCTCTGCATCAGATGTGATGTGACAAATGCAGAACTGCCGTGCAAATAAAAACCATTAAGGACTGTGAGGTGTTTACATCATGTAAAGATTGGAACCATATACATTTTGACAATTAAGTGATGAAATGCTTCTGTCTTTAAAGTTTATTTTGATTTCTTTTCCTGAACATTTAACATTTATCAAGTGCTGAAAACTTTTACAGATAGCAAGAGGGAAAGATTGCAGCTTCATACCTCCATGCCAAAATTTATTAAAAAAAAAAAAACATATTTGTAATATATACAATTTCAGAAGCTGAATTTACACAAATAGGAAGTTTCCTGTTGTAGCTACACAGAACAATGCAGGGAAGCACAAAAAATTCCCTCTGCAAGCCAAAACTATAAATTGTTTGAATACTACAGGGTCTACCTACTTACCTGTAACAAGCATGCAACCACAAAATAAGAAAGAAAACAACAAAATAGCTACTATTCTGTATTCTCAACTACTATTTTGAAGTTCTACATGATTTGTCATCTTAATTTGACATTAAGTAGTTTACATTTTTTTAACCTGTTATATTTTAACCTGTATATATTTTGTTATATTTCATTGAGGGCCAATTTTTCAAATCCTTGATTTCTGGGAGCACGTATTAACATAATCAGAACTAAAGGCTTGCAAAAATACCAGCACAACTGGAGACTGCACATACAAATCCTTTGTTTATACACATATATGACTAACTTGTAAGTGACCTCATGCATGCTAAAAAAAAATATGCTTTTGTACATGGTTGTGATAGTGGCCAAATAGTATTTTGGCACAGTTTTACAATGTATTCTGAAACATTTAGGCACACATAGCCCAAGGAAAAGATAGTGTCAATCAAGTGGAACATCAGGTTTTTATTTAGCATCACTGTTACAAGATTAGATTACTAACTAGATGACTTTATGATTACATACAACAATCCAAATAATCTTATTATATAATAAAGAAAAGATTCACTTTTAATTTTATGAGCTTACACTACATAAGCTAACTGATCCTTGGCAGATAATCACTACAGACTACAAAGGAAGTATGCACAATCATTTCTAAGTGACTTTATGCAATTTTTTCCCGGTTCACAAATGTTACAGCTAAATTTAGAATCAGAGCTCCTGGTTCTCAGATCCATGCTCAGACCACATCTACCTCTACCTCACAATTGCACAGAATGAAAGTAGAAAAAAAAAGTCTGAGAATCTCAAAATCCCTTCTTGTACTAAAAATAAAGGCAAATTGTACTCCAGCTGGAGACTAGTAGCAAGGATGCTGAATCTATCAGCCCTGCCTCTAACACACAAAGGCTCAGAGGTCATAAATTGCCTCTGTAATGTGTATTTCGTTCAGGTTTATCCCTTATTGATCACCCACACTCCAGTTAGTAAATCAGGAACCTATTGATTACTCACTGGCTCTGACTGCCCTGGTGGTAAAAGTGTCAGTTTCAAGTGGTTGGTGCACTTTACGGGCACCGTAAATCTGCATACAGGGAATCTCCAGGTAGTAGGTACCTTGGGAGAGGGAGAAAGAAGAATGCACACAGGAATGATAGACCTCATTAAGACATGGACAGGAAGGGTACCTGAGGCACATTTTATGAAATATGCTTTCTTTGGTAGCTAACACACCTTTCAATTTCTGTTTACTAACCTAAATACAGGTGCTATATTGGTAAGAGAATAGGTTGGCAAATACCAGTGTAACAGCAGACTCTTAGAAACACCACCACCAGGAAGGTAAGGCAGTGGGTATGCGTAGCATACCGCCTAACATCGGACAGGCTGAACTATGAATTGTGAAAATCTGTTACAGGCTGCAAGATGAATTAGTCGTTCTGTGAAAGGTAAGTTTAAACAACTCTTCTGTACAGTTCAAAATGACTCAGAGGTAAAACAGAACAAGAACAAGAGGAAAGGATGACTGAAAATACACATTGGTACACTGTCACAAGCCTCTGTGAAGAAGTCAGAGGTACAGAGCTTTGTGGGATGACAGATTTGGGCCTAAACTGAGAAAGCCGAATGGTACTTACTCCATCCTTACTGGCTATTTCTTCTGCTAGGATTCTATAATTTCCTTGGTGTTGCACAAACAATAACAAGTAAATAATTGCCTGATAACTTTTGGACAATGGCTGGTGGATCATAAGTAAAAAAAAAAGTTGCAGTACTCAGTCTCTGTTGGATCCAATAGGTGACCACAGAAAACCTACCTTACAGTCCAGAAAGGACTGAAATTCTACCCTGGGAAGAGAGAAAGTAGAACATATCTGGAGACACACAGCAGGCTCCAAAGTACAGCCTGGGTACTTGGGTAGCCACAATATATCCAAATCAACACTGTGACCTCTCACTAACAGGAGATAACAAAAAATTACATATGTACAGAAAAAAATGGTTTTCTCTTAAAAAAAAGTATAGTTTGTTTCTGACAGTGATGTGCTTTTATTTATTTATTTATTTATAAATCATAAGCTAAATCCATATTTCCTGGGTAATTCCTTTTCTTTTGATTGTACCATAGCACTCAAGGTACCTGATTCTGATGCAGGTCACACTGGAGAAAAAGCAGGTGTTGCTATGCACAAAGCTGGGATTCGTTGTTGTCTTTAGTGTGTCAAAAGGATTTTGAGCAATGCTTTCTTTTTCTCTTTGACATACTTATTCTATGATGTTTTATTTTTATTTTCTTTAAAGGAACTGTAATTGCATACACCGGAGTCCTATTTCACTCCTACAGTTCAAGCTGACTGCATGTTGGACTATCAGGGTCATTTGAGCTTGCTACTGCTTAACCCTGTCATAGATTTAAAAATGGCAAATTGTAGGTTTTAAGTCTGGCAAACAATACAATCCATGGAAAACAATGTCTGCACAAGCAGACACAAACTCACAAAGAACCTGACTGAACAGGATCAGGCCTCTCACACCTTAGTCTGTAAAGAGAAGTCTAGATTGTAAAATGACGTCCACTCAAAATCCGGAGTAAAATACAACTCAGTCTCATAACAGAGGCCTCTAAGAAGATCCTGCACAGCTAACTGCGACAGTCTGTGGCCTTCTTGGAAAGGGATGGCGTATCAGACACCTGGGGGTATATGCCTCTTGCAACATTATTCAGTTCTCAACATTATTCAGTTTCTCTGCTGACAACCTTTATTCTACCCCTATCCCTGGAAGATGCAGAGCACGTGGATTCTGTAGTGAAAATAAGGTAGCCATTAATCTACTGTCATACAAACAAGGGGTGCTATTATCCTCATGTTAAAAGTAAATGTTCAACAAGGAAACTGCTACCAAAAGAATTCCACACAGCCCAGCTGTAGCAGTTGCGATGCTGAATTCCCAGCAAACATAGGCCAAATGAAAGGTTCTTCCTCTAAGCCCTGAAGTGTTACCTGAGGCTGTTTATGGTGGCTTCACAAAATTAATAGTAAGAGCAGAGTTCCTCCTCCTCTTTGAAACTATAGACCCAGCTGGGCACCAAAGTCTGATCTGCACACAACATTTGTAAATCAATACAAGTTGCTCATCCAGTCTGCATATAAAGCTGCCATACAAGTAGCTCCTGTTACCACATCACAACGCTGATATTTGTCTGCAGCAGTCTCCTCTGCCCTGCAGAGCCTCATGAGACAACTGCTAGAGCACATTTTCAGATTTCAAAATCACTAACAGGTCAGTCCACTTCTTAAATCATCTGAATGTCACGGGCCTTCATGCAGCTGCACTCTGTTCCCCAAGTAAGCATTCTAACAAGAGGGAACACATTTTTTTCTATTTTCCCAAGTAAGCGTTCTGAATAGAGATGATGCGATCCCATACTGTGTTCACTGTTTTCGTACTGACTCATGGTACATGTGCCAGAAACAGCCCTAATATTTGCCAGGCCTGCTGAGTACACGGATTTCACAGTGGCAACATACTTCATAGAGGAAGAAAGAGGTAGTAAGTAAACAAGCTTCTGAAGCCAAGGGGAATTTATTTTTCACTCCGGAGAATTAGGATTCACCAAAATGGAAGCGTTAGGCCTTAGACAACTGCGTATGACAGTAGGTTGATAGCTGCTGTTCACTGCATGCCTGTCAGAAGAATTCAGTTATATCCCCAGCTGGAATATTAGCTAGGCTTTAGAAGCAAAGGAAGACATGAAAGTGTTCTGGCTAAGTGGAAAAAAAAAATAAAAAATTTGAGAGAAAGATGCCTAAAGCAGTCAACAGCAAAGACAGTTTTATATACAGACATTCCAGGAAGATGAAGATGTGTGGATAGGTCACATGAAATGAGCAAGATACTGTCCCGGTCAAGTGGGACAGCACGAACCCAGAAACAATCATTCACTCCTTCAGCTATCTCAGGAAGGGCTTGACATTGCAGGCAATCCCTATACCTCCACATGCTTGGGTAAGAGGCAGAAATGGAAAAGAAAAAAAAAAAAGTGATTTACTTAAACATGCATATTTCTAGAGCTGGAACTAGAATTAGAGACCTTCAAGCCTTTCCACTCTAAAAGCACCAACAAATCCAGGGTTTGGAGCACTTGGCAGTTTACTAGAAGATGATCACCTACCCTTTTAGATTTCTATACCATGTTCCAGGAAAGATTCAAGTCTTGCTTCTTAATGCAATTAAGCCTCTAGGTTTATCGTTAATATTAGTTGAGAGGGCATGCAAATGATTTACTCCTTTCTTTGAGGATTTAGCTGAACTGTTCAGAGGTCTATCTAACGTAATTCTTCAAATCTTCATCTTGAACTTCTACTTGCCATCTCACTGGGCACTGAGGTCCACTTTTCTTATAAACTCCAGTCAGAGCATTTAATTAAGTTTTTCACCCATAACCCTGTTTTCCAGGCTAGACACACCATAAATGACATTAGGGACAATTTATCATCTTCTACCTTCCTCTCTTGTTCTACCTGTTATTAAAACTTAAATTGAAGGGAACATTGGCTGTAGGCTCTTCTGAAACTCCGATCCTGCCTCAGTGGAATAACATTCCACCAACCCACAACCTATAACATCTTTCTACTGATAGAGCCATTGGATACCCAGAATCTAATAACATTCTGCTTGAGCCTGTAGAAAATCCTCTTCAGGAGAGTTAAAGACTTAAAGAAGAAAATTCTGTACAGACCACTCCTTTCACCCAGAGAGGGAAACAGGTAGAGGGTAAAAAGGCGAAGGATCACTTGGGCTGTCCACGCAAGTCTCTGCTTGCCTGCTTTTAACAGCCTGCATCGTCAAGCAGAAACCTTAACAGACAAGACATGATTAGCAAACGCTTTGTGCTCTTAAAGGAGAGTAATTATAGGCATGTGAAAAAAGGAAGAGATCCCCGAGGTACTCTTCCTTGCATGCCTCCCGAGAGGCAGCAGGGCCATTAAAAATTCCATGATGAAGAGGAAAAACAGCCTGGGAACAGCCAGGAGGCAATACAGCAAATTAATACACCAGCTGTCCCTTGGGAGGACTGCAAGAAAGCAGGAAACTCTCCTCGCTTCACAAAATAAAATTATACCACTAATGATAACAGTCACCACACACACAAAACTGCTTCTAATGATGGGTGTGAAATTCCCAGTGCTATGCACACACTTTGAATGAAATCTCTTCTCATCACAGACATAAAGCAAGAAAGGTAATCTTGGTAGTGTACAATTCACACAGCCTTTCAAATAAGACTTCCCAAGGAACCTTCCACATAGAACTTCCTCCTTGACACTGAAAAGCCTTTCTTGAACGCCCCCACCTGCGCTCAGTATTCTGAGCAACAGATCTGGTTAATGGAGGAATGGGTTACCAGTGACATGCTGCACTTCCAGACGAACTGCACCAAAATCCACCACAGAAGAAAAGAAAACATTTCCACTGGAGAGGGCAGACTCTACCTGGTAGTTATGCTCCATTGGACATATTTGTGATAGCAGAAGCTAAGCAGAGAGGTAGTTTTCCATCAAGCACTGGGCATCAAGTTGAAGAAATATCATCAAGACAAGTTCTTCTTTAAAGTATTTCACAGAATTCTCAGGAAATTAGCACCCCCACCCCATTCTGACAAATCTCTGAGCAGAGTTTCTTGAGTACAAGATGCAAGCTGTTAGGACCTTACTAAAGCATAAAATGCTAGAATTGACTCCATCCATGAAAAAAGAGGAAGAATTAACTGGGGCTTAATGGCTGAACAGAGCTTACAGAGATCACCTGAAATTCCTGTAGGAAAACAGACTGCCAATGGACTTAGCTCTTGAAGTACCTAAAGAACTACTATTAAGAGAACATACCTGTGGAGGAATCAATTTCCTTCTGTGCCCTTGGCAGCATTTTTACATAAAGCAGGCACCTCGCACTAAAGAATTCAATCCCTGCCACATTATGGGGCCATATAACATTTTTTATTCTTACCATAGTTGCCCTCCACTCCCCCAACCCCACCAAAGATGAGCACATTTGCCACTATAAGAAGGAACTGCTTTCCTAAATGACAGGCACTTAAAAATGCAGTCACTGCTAGGATGAGACAAGCAACTTCTCTGCCAACATTCAGTAACAATTCATTGGGGATATTGTTTGTCAGGACTGCAGTCACCTGCTCCTTAGAGGAAGGAATCAAGCATATGTCCATGGGTTAACTAGACTATATATGCAGTAAAACCAAGCAAACACGATCACTCCAGCTTCAGAAATCTCTTGCAACACTCAATAGTTTTGGAAAAGCCCTTCACTGATCATCATAAAGGCAGAACTTTGCTACAGTCAAATTTGCGGGCAGGAGCTGTCCAGATCTCCTTTCCAGAGGACAAACACCAAACAGCTGGTCTCACCTGTAATTTCTGCATAGCACAAAGTGAAACACATGAGGCACAAGAAAGGTTATCCTCACTGCAGATGAAGAGATCAATTAATCTTGCTTCACAGGCACAAAACATCCCCAGAATGGGGCAAAAGCACAGAAAGGAAACAATTTGCTGATGCACAATCTTCTGGATTCTTTTTATTCTCATCCAGCTGACCGTTTAAGAGTTCATTTCCCTCCCTTCCCCCTACCTCCCCTTCCAGCTTTAGCATGCTGGCTACAGCAGCATGAGGTCATGGTGCGACATCACAAAATTCCCTGCAGTAGCCAGTGGGAGGAGAGGCTTTGCTGGGTGGGTGCCAAGCTTCAGTTCAGACACATACAACCTCAGTACATTTTTCATGCTCTATTTGCTAATTAACAAGGGGGAAAAAAAGCCAGGAAGCTTAAAGTCCAGACAGTTCTTTCAGATTTGATCCTTCGTACGAGCACGTAAGCAGAGCTGTCCCCCAAGCAAGTCTGTTGCCTTGTATAGTGGAAGAGCTCAACCTTACCTTTAAATAGTCACCTGCAGCACAAGAACAGGAGTCACCTCCAAGACCAAGACCACCTCCAACACTTGGATTTCATATAGGCTTAGTCAGCAAAAGGTGCCCAAAGAGCATGTTAACCCCAACCACGCAGATTCAAACGTTAACCCCAACATTTGGCCAGACCAGATCTAAATTGCAATAGAGAAAGATACCAAGCCACTGGAGGTCACCTCAGGTGAGTTCTGAATCTGTTCAGAGGATCTATTTTAGGCACCCAGGAGACCAAAATGCCTCAGCAAGGCACTCACACTAGTCTGTCAGTACTTTCCCTTTCATCTCGTTCTGATTTGAATATTGGGGAACAATACTGTGCCCATTTGCACCTACGTAACAGACTTGCAGCATCTCGTTGCACAATGAAAAACAGATCACATTTATTTCTAAAAAGACAGTATACTCTGCCTGTCTGTCACACAAAATATTTCAATACGTCCTGAGTGCTTAGAGTACTGAGTCTGCCAGCTAAGCTGCATTGGTATGTTCTATGCTAAGTTTGAACACAGGCATCACAAGGAAAAGTGCATTAACTTCCAGGCTGGTGAGTACTGTTCAGACTGCATAGTGCTCCTGAAGGGAAGTACGGGAGGGAAGTCAGACAACCCCAACAGAGCAGAGCAAGGGAGTTACCTGGCGGTGCAGTGTGCTGGTGAGCATCTTCGGTGGGAAGCATCAGCAAGCACATCCAGAGAGTACAGAGGAGATAATGGATTGAACTGGAAAGTCAAGAGATTTTATTTAAGCAAAGTGTTAAAGGAAATAGTCTCCAGATACAGCTGCTCAGATCTACTCCCTGTAGTTGTTCGTACAGTATAAGGAAATCTTTTCAAAATCCCAATGGATGAGCCTAGGTGAGAACTGACTCTCAATTCAGATGAAAAGTTAGCACAGGGTGCAACAGGAAAAACTCATAACCATCTTCTCCCGACAGACAGCCCTACAGGCACACTTTTCTTCCACCTCACATAATTACATATGCTGGTTGACTAGGAGCATACTTGAAGAGCTTTACTGCTGCATACCACAAGCAAAAGTTCACCTCCCTGTAGTGAAGCCCCCTGTCCACATTCATATTGCAGCATGAAAAGTCACTGCTACAAACAGTGCAATCACAGAACTTCCCAACAGTGCCAATATTCCCGGTGGCCATACGTGTCACTGAAACAGATCTCTAGAAGGCTCAGTTCACAATGAGCTCTCAATTCATTCCACAGCAAGTGAGCTGCTCCTCCTATTCACAAGCTTCCCTTGCAAACTGCTTAAAACGATTTTCTGAAACCACGTGTGGTCAGGCTAATCTTGCATCCTTTGTAAGATATACACTAGACAAACCCTAAAGGCATCAAGCCTGTGCTTCATTGTAGAAAACATAACTCTAATATATTTTTTATGGGACAGGAAAGATATGGAACAGATCTACTCATAAAATGCACAGCGAAAGCTTTGTTCGGTTCACATAGAAGATTTAGAGTGGTCTTCTGTCTGGGGTGCCCACGTTATACTTCCATTCAGGGTCTCCTCCTTGTTTATAATTCACACCACAAGCAAAAAACTCATTCCCATCTGCTTTGCAAGGTGCTTCACCAGTTCCCAGAACACTTGTTCTTGAATTACTAGGGTGACTGGTACATGCATTTCTGGATAGGGATAATCCACAGCTGTAGAAGATCTCTCATCAGAAATGCTTTATGCTAGTCTAGAACTCAGTACTAGGCCTTTGCCTTCAAACTTTCTGGCAGAGAAGAGGTACTAAGTACAACAAAGCTTCTGTTATTGGTAAGCTTCTCCTTAAATTGGACTATTAGTTTACCATCAGTGAAATAACACCACAGCTGCACAGTAGGGGAGAATCACCAGTAACTCTCTGCAGCTGCTTCAAGTTCAGTTATGAAAAATAAAACTGATTTATACAGGTCATTTGAAAGCTTACAGAGTTATCATTCTTAAAAATATAAAAGTGGTATGTGAAATGCTGCCATTAACAAGAAACGCACAGTTGCACAAAGGCCTAGAAATTACTTTGCACAAAGGCATGGAAATAATTTCTTGCCACATATGTATTTATAGTCATCTGAAGGGTAAAACAACTTTCAGTCCTAGTGTTCACCAATCAAAAACCAACTTGCAATGGAGCAGAAGGGAGTGTGCAGTACTAGGAACACTGTTACAACATGACCGCTCAATTGGAAGTTGTTTTTTTCTTTGCTTGCTGCTATCAGGAACCTGTGCTCTTGCACTGTAAGTAAAAAAGCCTCCTACCACTGAAGCTATGCAACATTTACATACAGAGAATACAAAACAGTATGAGTACCTACACAAGAACTTCAGTCAGTTAAAAGAGTGCCTACTTCTCTTGCTAATCACCTCTTACTTTTTCCTGTTACAGTTGTTTATTCAATTAGTCAGGTGACTTTTTTTTTTTTTTTACCCATTCTCTGTTGAAGAGACTATCAGGCAGAAGCCTGAGCCAAACGAGGAAAAACAAAGCATTCAAAAAGAGAAAAATGTTCCAATTATTATAGAATTTTATGAGGCCAAAGTTCCTCCTGCCAAGAGTTACTCTCCCTCCCACTCATTATTGGAGAGGTAGGCATATGCTAACCTGAAACAGGGAGATAAACAAAAGGAGTTTGTGAGCTATTCAGTTCAAACAGACAATATAATGCTAGTGACATGAGTTGCATTCAAAGCCCAGAAGACATGAGTTACTAAAACAAGAAGGGACAAGGCTACCTTACCTCACGTGCAAACGCCACAGTGTGAGGGAAATCAGAAGCCAGCACTTTGTTCTTTCTAGAGAGAATGAAACCAAGAAAATAAAAAAAGTAGAGCACAGTCAGCTTACCTGGTTGCGATCTCTCTTCCCCATGGATGGTAACCAAAAACTGGAAGGAGGCAGTTGGAAGGACAGGTGGGAGCAACGCCAAGGAAGGAAGGAACACAGGGAAAAATAAGGGTTGAGGATAAGGATAGAAGGGCAAGAGAAGGACAAAGATGGAGGGAGAAAGAGAAAGATTAAACATCAATAGGACTCATTAAAAACAAGAAATTTCAAACCCAGGGAAGAAAACTGGATACCAGCAGATGGTGAATCAGGCTGGACCCACTGCACTACACTCAGGAGGAGCCACCTTTACTGCTTTTACCTAGCCGTAGCCCAACAAGAACAACATTAGAGAGATGCCAAGGAATAGGCACCATGTCTATTTCTATTGCTGGCTACAGTTTTAAAACACAAACTGGGGAAGGAGACAGAGAACACCAAAGAAAGAATGCAATGTCACTACTGCCTTGTCAGCATCGTTTCTACAGTCAGGGTGTGTAACAATAGCATGAGTCCACAAAGAAGCTTTTTAAATAACTAACATACAGGGCTCAATCTTCTCACACTGTGCAGGAGATATGCAGTTATTACAATGGCACAGTGTAAGAGAGGGGGAAAGAAAAAGCTGACTGGATCCAAAAGGACATTTGAGCAGTATCAACATACTAGGGCAGCCTAGTAACTAAAGAGTCAGCAATTGCAAATAAGAAAACAGAGAAGCTGTCAGCAGAGGACTGTCTCCCATTCAGCAGGTGACTGCATTCTTAAGTTACCCCAAAGCTCTTCATTCACAAAAGGGAAGAGGACCCCGCAGTTCTTCCTCCCCTCCCAAAGCTCTGCCCAACAGCTGTTAAGGGCCTTACTCTTTCTGGCGCGGATCACTAACAATATGACCTAGCCTCTCGGTGCCCACAGTGCTCATGGAGGTCTCCTGAAACACAAAGACAGGTAAAACGTTGCAGACTCATGCAATGAGCAGACCTAAGTTTGCTACTGCCCATAGGAATAGATCGTGCTCCCCCAGCCCATTCTCAGCTAAATTTACCCACCCTCTCCTTTTAGAATCTCAACCGAGTTGATTTAGTTAATTATAATGGCAGAAGACCATTTGGTTTTTGTTGTTGTTGCCATTGTTATTTATTTATTTTACTGTTTTAGCTACTACATTTGCTTGCACGGGGGTGCACAAAGGACTGAACCAGCATGAAGTATGCGGCACAAAGATGCAGTGAAGAACAGGGAAAATGGCTGAGGTATGCTTGTTTCCAGTTTGCTGGTGTCAGCTGAGCCAGGCACAGGCTGAGAGGTCAGGACATCACACTACCCACCCTACTAACAGAAATCTTCCTCAAAAAACTGCATCCAGCCTCTTCAACCAAAGGGGAAAGGGACTCACAAAGAGCAGGTGAATGAAACAAGGAGGAAGCTTAAAGTTTGCCCTTCCTGAAAACAGCAATTTAGCATGAGGACATCTAGCATCTATAAGGAAAAAAGTATATCCAATGAGAAAGGACTTGCTCTGGGAGTATGTTTTTCCCTGTGATTCACTGCCCTGTGTATGGCTTGAGGCTGGTGCACACATATACACACAGCCTGAAGCACCAGCTGTTCGTATCTGCATAGCAGCTCCCTCCAGGAAAGAAAAATACTTTGTGGTAAGGGTGTGAAGATGAGGGTAAAAGGTTTTCTCAGTTAAGAATGTTCACAGTTTCACTCCAGGTTACATAAGCAAAACACATTCAAAGTTTAGGAGGAGTAGTAACAGCAGGGGTAAAAGATGGGCTATTTGTTATAGCAGGAAAATTATTAACTGAAAGTGCCGTAATGTTTAAATTTACGGTTTATTACTGTGTAAATTACAAGCCGTACTTTTGGTAATTAGCAGCTCGCTGGCGGGGAGCTCTGAATGAAACTCATTATTTATGATTACAATTTAGAGAGAGATGGGGAAGGGGGAGCAGTGACCTCCGCTGCAAATGACAAAGATCCCTTTAAGGTGATGAAGATGAATTAAACAAGTAAATATTATCCTTCTCATTTGGATCATTAGAGGTGCTGCCAACAGGCCCAGCCACTTGCAGGTGGCCTGAGGAACCCTACCCCAAAGCCAGGCTCTTGCCTGCTGAGGATTCATATTTTAAACACTTGTTACAACTAAGCAAGGTGAGTGGAAGGAAGAAGGGACAAACAAGGATCTTCAGGTATGACAACAGCTTCTGAAGAAGAAATCCCACTCGCCTAGAATCCAAGCCCCTCTAACACACCTTAGAGTTAACAAACTCTCTAAAGCCAGCCAATTCAGAACATAAGCAGCTGTCTTCAAGATCACATCCCAGTAAAATGTAACACAGCAGACTCTCAGAAACATCTTTTATAGTACACAACTGCACTCCACACTCCAACATCCAGACCAAGCATCCAGACCATCTGCCAAGTACTGTTTATTCCTTTAAGAACAGAATTAGCATTTTTGCCCTATGCTTATAAAAAATGGTTAATGACCATAAAAAAAAAAAGGTCAATGGCTTTGGGTAACATTATTGTATATACCCTTTCACTCTATCTCATCACTAAAAATGGAACAGCTAAGACCGCCTGCTTCTGCAGTCATTTATATCAGTTTTCTTCCCAACCTAAAATTTTACCTTCCTTCAGCTTTTGGTTACTTCTCTGCCCTTGTACTCCTAAATTACAGGCATGTACAAGTCTCATGCTATCATTATTTTCCCCTACTTACTGTCTAAATCTTCCTGATATTTATGTTCTCTGTCATTCATCTTCAGACCTCCTATCATACTGCTCTTAGCACTAATCAACCGTCTCTGCTACTCCAAGCCTGTTTCAAAATCCACTTGGTTGCTCAATCAACTTTGAGCAGTGAAAACATTTAACTGAATCAAAGACTATATGAAAAAACTGTACAGGGCTCCCTTTCTGCAGGAAAGGATTCAAGTGCAGTCTTAGAATAGCACTTCAGCAATAATCAGCATTGGAAATACAAATGAATTATCTTGCAAAAGGGAATACCTTGCCAACAAGCCTCCTTCGACCTTTTCGGAGACAACGGGCAGCAGCTCCTGGAAGGCGATTCAGGCGAGCATGAAAGCCTGAAAATCAAACACAGGAGAACTGAAAATTCTTCCTGGTAAAACAGCCAGGAAAAATTGTTGATTCAGTGGTCAAATTAGTATTTCTGTCTCTGTTTCTCAGTCCACATGAAGTAAATACGCCTTTTATTCACAATCAAAAAACCCGTTTTAAAAAAAAGACAGCTGATAAGAGGAATAATGAGTATTTTTGTCTTCTACAGTACTAGTGCAGCTATTTTTAGCTAGATTATTACAAACAGATCACTAATATCAGTTTATGTTGCAGCACCTGTAAATAAAATCTACTCACATCATCAACATCAAAAGTTCACAATCACAAGTCATTCCTTGTGGAGCTCACCTCTCTGAGCTGGTCGCGAGGGCAAAAGAAACGTGGAATCTGAGAGCTTTTCCAGTCCTGAGTCAATCCGCTCCACTTCAGATCGGTGGTCAGCTCCCCACTTGGGAAGGAGGTTGGGGACAGTGAATCCTGGGACACATTCTCCTTCATAAAACCAATCACTCTGCTCATCATCTCCTGAAGAAACAGGATGGAATTACCAATGAGAAACACCAACGTGCCCTGTGACTGTCCCACGAAGTACTACAGGTAGGCATTTTTGGATGTGGAACAACAGCTGAAGTCTCATTAGGAATTCCTTCCTGAAGAACCTTATATTTGTATTCTGTTTCAATCACCTGCAGTAACTATGGGGCCTCACTAAATGCTTTAAACTATACAACTCAGTCTACAAAATTTCCCTATAGAACAAAGCCTTCTTTATAGACCTGCCTAGGGCAGCTTTAGCACTCTGTTGCGGCTGCATCTCATCAACCTTAGTTCAGTGCTGTGTGATGTCTAATGCACAACTCTTCCTCTGAAGTAATTACTGTGACAGAAGTAGAGGCCAATCATTTGGCGCACACGTTCTAGGCCACCACAGGAAAGATTTCACAACAGGACACCAGGCTCAGAGTAAGCAAAAGGAGCATACTCACTGATGATGCAGATCCCTAGTCTCCTAATACAGCAGCAAACAGGAAAAAAATAAGGCTTTGAAATGGTCGCTCTGAGTGTAAATATTAACCATACAGTGAGTCTCACTCAATCAAAATTCCTTAAAATCTGTCAGAACTACAACCTCCCTGCAAAACTAGAGCAGCAGCAATAGAAGTCATTACCAAAACGACTCCATGAAGCAAGGCCACTGTAATTAATAGTTGCAGTCTAATACTGACCTGCATCGGACACCATTCAGGGTAAACCTGCCTGGCCGGAAATCCCCTGGGGGCAGTAGCACGTGAGAAGTGTAAGAAAAAGCAGGAAGACAGCAGAGAGACACTTAGCCCTTCAGTATCCCATCTAAGAAACAGTCCTGTGCAATTGCAAGGTACTTCACCTTGCCTGAAAACATTACTAACACACCTGACTTTGGGAAAACTCTCATTTGCCTATCATAAAGACACGAGGATTCCCAGTTATTCTCCTCTCTCTCTTTACCAAGTCACATTATCCCTGACTGAACTCCATTATGCCTACCCACACACCTTGGCAGCCAAAAAAAGCAGAAAAAAACTCATCCAAGTATGAATCATCTCACACATAACAGAAGCTGCACCCAAAACCAATCAGCAACAGCAAAGACAGCCAGAACACTTCAACCTAAAGCTCTCACACTGCTTATTTCTGTGATGTCAGTTGATCGAGAACGCTTATGACAAACATATTTTGAAATATAGACATACCCCTACCCACCTTACATTAAACAAAAGGTTAGTAACGTTGTCTAGGTCTTCTAAGTGATCATAACTCATGCAAAAATATCCCTTACACTTTTGGCTCTGTGAGCAATGCCATACCTCAAATCACTACTTCCACATGACAAACATTAACAACCAGGATCATGTACTAATACCTCTGCAACATTTGCCTTGAGCGATTCCTGTGCATTTTACAAAAACTTGCAATCAAATTACACAGTAGGATCATCCTCCACTCACTGCAATTTCAGCTACCAGTGCATTTCAAAGACAACTCATTTAATTAGCCACAGCAAATATGTATTACACAACATAACCTCAAAAGGAGGGGAAAAAAGCTCTATTCCACTTAAGTACATTGCTATTTCAAATTATTCAGTTTGGGATTGACTAGAAAACTATCTTTGATATGATCTATGACAAAAAAAAAAAATCTTTTGTGTTCTCTCCACTTCACTGAAGCAAAGACCTGCTATTTACTTCTTTATGACCAGAAATTATCAAAAAAGGAGGGAAAAAGATGTTCCTTATTTAACCTGATAATACAACAACATGTGATTTTCTAAGACCTCATCAGCCCTTTTTAACGTAAGCTAAAACATCTTTTGCCCACAAAACCATCACAGTATAAACTGTTTAAACAAGCAGAGGTGACCACAAACCTCTAACAGGTGTGTATGCATGCACACATGTATTTGTGCACATCATCTACACCAATCTTGTCTTTAGTGATGAGGTAGAAATATAACACTTCAGTCACCACACTGCTTCAGAACTTGGTATGCTAGTGCTCACTAATTTCAGCTCCCCAAGAAGAGTTATCAGCAAAAACAGGGGACGGGAGATTTGACCTTCCTGTTGATTTTGAAGTATGGGAGGCTGGAAAAATTATTTCCAGAGCAATGCTGATCTCTGAAATTCATACTCTTAGGGAAAGTACTCCAGCCATCTATGGTCACAACAGATCAGCCCTACAGTCTAACACATCATCATAAAAAACTGTACGTATGTTTGCTAACACCATCCTGCCTCACACAGACACCTGGGCTGGTAGCAAGTTAGTGGGAGCAATATTTCCCACTGAGTTACTGGTTCTACTTCCTTTAGCACTCACATATTCCCAGAAGAGATCTCATCCAAATCTTAGCTTTTGAAATGTGACAGAGTGCACACCTGCATGAGCTACATGGCTTTACAGGTCTCTAGGGTCATATCCCACCTGCTCCAAGTGCAATAGTCCCGAGTGCCTATGTGCCTACTGTAACTGCTTTTGCACTTACTTCCACCACATCCCCCAGAAACCGAGCACTAAGCTGTCACTGATAAAATCAGCATACAGTCCACACTCAAAACCCCTAAGAAATCATTTCTGCGGTAGACATTGAAGATATTAGGCTCAATTAAGGCACACAAGAGCAAGGGAAGAACAGGTATTTACAGAAATAAAATCTATCACACATTACTGGTTTTCTTAGCAGTTCCTTAGGTGACTTGTCATACTAACTGATTTTTTGGAGCTTTCTTTTCCTGCCCATAGAAATAAAAATAACAACAGATTCAGGCTGTGGTATGTAAACAACATCTAAAACACCTACAGCCATAGATCATTAACTTTTCTCTCTCACTAGGGAAAGCTCTAAAACTTTTCTTCCGTTTCCAGGCCTTGCCAGAAAAGTAGTTCCTTATATATACTAAATGTTGTAGATCTGATATGCAAGAGTGTACTGTTACCAAAAATCACACCTTTCCAGCCCTCTCAGATCATTTTCTTAACTTCTAGTACCTCTCAGCCACTAGCCTTTCTCCTGTACTTCCCTCTCTGTCTGTCTTCAAACTTAGATCCTTCTTTGTATTTATAAGTTAATAGAAATTCTCCAGTAACACTCGAGGAAAATCACAGGACAGTTGTTACCTTGGCGGCCCTCATCATTGGTAAACAGGCCAGTATCACTGCTGCTGCATACACTGCTGGTTTCACTGCAACAAAAACAAACAAACAAAAAACTCTTAAAAAAATGTTGTCATTCCAGCAGATACAAAGCAAAAAAACATTTTATTACATTTTACTAGCTTCTCTGAGACCAAAACGCTATACATATTTCACAGAAATTAGGTGCCATTGCATTTCAGATACGTGGCTGGCTCTAGCATGGGATATAATAACTTTCTGTTAAATCCTAGCAATGCTGCATCACTTGGAAAAGAGTAGAATCCTGTATCTAGTCTAGTTCTAACATATCAAAAAGTAATTAATACAATGGCATTTGCCTCGGGTACTAGAGTTAATAACCTAACTCTGACATTGTCTGGAATACTCACTAGGAAATTAAGTGTCGTTAACTGTCCTTGGGTCACTTAAAAGCTATTAAAAATATCTAAAGTTTTGTATTTCAGACTTCTTTTTTTTTTTTCTCAAATGTGTTACAGAGCTACATAAAGCCCCCTTCAATCTACAGCAACTTTTATTTTCTTTAGAGGGAAGAGCAATGTGTACATTTGTAACTCCTCAGCTAAATACCTTAGCACAGCATGACTTGCTACTGCTCAACGCCGCACGCTTTGCATTTGCTGAAGCGGTTACAGGAGACTTAATTCCTGAACCAATGAATTAAACTAGAAATTAATGTGTAGAAAGCCGTTAATTGACTGTAAAACTAGATGAATATTTGCAGCAGAAGTACATGCTCAGGTCAGTCCCAAGCATCTGATGGCTTTAATGCTGATATTAAATCAATCCTCAGACACTTTGGGCAATACTTCCCCTGATTTAGCTGAGGGATATAAGAACAAGCTGAGCTATTTTCTGCCCACCCCTTTATCACTAAGGCCTTATAGGAGATGTGAGCACCAGGTGTAAGTCAGCATCCCAATCAATCCCCAGTTGGGGAGTGTTAGAAAGCATCCCTTGACCCCTCCAGGGGGATTGGGTCATACTAGACACCAACTCCTTTAGTTCTCAAAGCAGAAGGATGGGTTATCACACAAAGTGTAATCCCAAAGAACTGCAGGAACATAATAAACCTATTCTTGAGTATATTGTTGCTCTTGGAAAATACACTCTGAAGTGTAACCAAATAAACTCATCGTGTGGGGTATCTATAAGCTCTGCATCTTCATCATTGCATAAAGGCCATTTAAACTGCAAGGATGAACGGTCTGTATGTTATTCCCACATTTCGGTATTTAAGTTGATATCAAATTCCAAATCAATTCATTACAAAGTTTGGCCATCCATTCGCCCTCCCACATAAACACAATAGCAATTAAGGCCAAGGACCAATAACCATGAGTCATTTGTTTCACTCCTAGCTCTCCTACCAACTCACTGTAAGACCCTGGGCAAATCTCTTAGTGTGTCTGCTTTCCCTTTTGAAAGCCTGGATTAATAGTCCTCACAAGCAGCAGATGCAAGGATTGAGTGACTGCTTCGTAAGGGTTTTAGCATCTTCAGAGGAAGGGTGCCTGAGAAAGGAAAAAGCATTAAGTCAAGATCCCAGATCACATTAACAGTACTCTAAGCATCCTGTTGTACTGAGAGCTGTTTAGTTCCTTACAGATAAACATTACTGCCAGTGCCTTACTTGAATGAATTTTCGTGGCTCTCACTCACCCTCTTTACCACTCATTTTACACTTCAGGGCTGAACACAAACTAGACTCCTCCACAAGCCTTTCTGCAGGTCCAGTAAGCGCTGATTAATGACCTCCACTTGCAAAGGAGGCTACTTACCTTAACCATGAAATAATGAATCCTATTGATCCAACAACCTACCGCTATAGAGTGTTATTGATCACCCAATCTTTGGTTAAAATGGTCCTCATTTAGCAATTTCACTGTCACAAACACCTGGAGCAAAGCATGCTTATAATTAAATAGTTTGGGGGAGTTAAAGTGAGAGGTGATGGACAGAGATCTCAGGTTTCCCCCATTTATTCTTTCTCCTGAGCTATTGTTTGTGTCAGGAGAGATATTGATTTTCTATAAAAATAAGAAAACAAGAGGCACCGAGGGGCTGCAGAAGGTCAGGCTGGGCTGCAGAAGGAGGGGATGCTGAACACTCTGTCTTTGTCACTTGCCTTCCAAGAGAGGAATTTTTTCTTTACTGAGAGACTGGCCCCCAATTCATCAGCATAGCCAGGCTCTCGAGTGCCACTGCAGGCTGTCATCAAAACAGCTCCCTTCCAGCAGCGCTGGTTACACTCCCAGGCCAGAATACATCAGCATCAGCCAGCGAAGTCACAGCACTGGTGGGTCAGTGCAATGCAGTTTGAAAAAGTCAAGTTACAGCACGTGATAGTAGATTAGCCAAACCAAACATCTCTCACCAGTGAGCACATCACTCAAAATGATTTGTCAGACAGCTCTTGTACCATGGTTTGTTCTGCCCTCAAGCTAAACCCAGACCATTCTGAGAGTACTCAGCTTAGATCAACAAGAACTTCAGCACTCAATATATAATTTCCCTTTGCTTTATTATGGCTGCAGGGAATCTCGGAGCATTAGAAGAGACAGAAGGTTACTTCTAACAGTCTTAGCAGTTAATTGTCACCCTTGTACAAATATACAGATGACTATTTAAACTAACATCACTTGCTTCTGCTGTTGTTTCCACAATTATTTACAAATTAGGCTTTGAGTCGTGTCATTACCCAACTTAGAAACATCACTTTCCCTCATCATGTTCCTGCACATCTTTCCTTCTCTCAGTTTACGTTCACCTCTTGGCATGTTTGGCAATTTCAAATATTTCATTCTATGCACAGTTTGAATCACAAAGATGCAGCACATCTTCTTCCATAAAAAGATGAGGCGAAGCCCTACAAGCAAACTGCAAGCACTACCTCCCCATTAAGGATACATTTCTGAAGCTTTCTCAATGAATGGGAGTCTATCTATTGAATACAGTAGGCTTTTGATCTGACTTGGGATAAGGAGCTTTGTAGAAAGCAGAGAAAATGCTGGTATGTTAGCATTTAAAGAGATTCTTTTCTACATAACAAAGAAAAGCAAGTGTCATTGGAGTGGAGGAAAAAGAAGGTGAAAGAAACCATCAGTTCTGAATGTACAACAGTTTGTCTAAAAACACATTAGTTTCGTAACACACCCCATCACTGGGGGGCTCTTTTCTCAGGTGAAAAGCAAAGGACAGGAGGCAGGGAGGTGGTGGAGTCACCATCCCTGGAGGTATTTAAGAGATGTGTGGATGTGGTGCTTAGGGACATGGTTTAGCAGTGGACTTGCAGCGTTAGGTGGTTGGACATGATGACCTTGAAGGTTTATCCAACCAAAATGATTCCATGAACAGCAGCGGAACCAATACAGCATCAAAATGCTCCATAAATTGCTCGATCATGATGGGTTGTTTCCAAGTACTGCAAGTTTTATCAGTCACTTTCCCTCCCCTCAGCTGGCGACGACACCCATACAATCCTCTCTCCTAGGCATCCCATTTTCGTCTCCTTTCCTCAGGCTATGCCCTTGTTACACATCTCTGCAAAGTACTCCTCTCATGGTACCAGGAAAGGCAGCTAGAGCAGAGTAAGAGCGGGGCGAGCAAAGCCAGTTTTGCTCTGCTAGCAGCAAAGAGCTATATTTGGAGCGGCAGAGACCAAAGCCTGATCCTCCACTGCTGCGAGGGATAGTTAGTCTGCAGCAAAGAGAGTTGCGTGTGTTTCTCTCCAACTTTGACCCTCCCTAGTGAGTCACTGCACAGATCACACATGTGGCGTTGGAGACATCAAATATTCTGAGAAATATTTGATTTCTCAGAAAGAGAATCCCAAGGATTTGGCAGCAGATGGGAAGTGTCATTTGATGCAGACACTTGCACAATAATTAGTTTGAGAGCAAGGGACAACTGAGAGAGAACAAAGTGATATCCTCAGCATGGTCCTTAAGTAACAGTCCAGACAAAGCTGTTTGCTTACTCTTCTAAAGTCTGGCACAAATAAAGGCTGGATGAAAGCCTGCTGGTTTAAGTTCAAGTTTGACATGATGGAACAGGCTCTGACTGGTAGAAAAACCTCAAGGAACCCTGTCCATCACTGCCACATCAGGTAAGGATATCTCTCAGTCCATCACCAGTGACATGCAACATTCAGGGGCTACTCGGTGTGTTTCCCTTCCTGGACTACCAGCAACAGCACTGAAAAGACTGAAGTGCTTTTAACAACACATAACAAAAAGGCATCCACTAGTCTCTTGAAAAGGCCCTCTCTGTACTCACTTTTTAACCTAAAGAGAGCCACTTTTCAAGAAAAAAAAGACCTTTTGACCTTTTTTTTTTTTTTTCTACTTCCATCCTCTAACAGTCACATACAAACCAAAAAAGCAATAGTGGTTCCCAGGATCAGGACAGTGAGGATGTATCGCAGCCTGTGCTTCTCAGAGTCTCTCAGAAAATACCTTTGAGGAGTTTGCAGCTATTACCCACAAAGCCCTCGATAACCAAGTGCCACTTGTCCACTCTGACAAACTGCAGCAGCTAGACAGCCAGAACACTTAAATGAACCCGAACATATGAACAATTACACTGGAGCAAACAATTATACTTGTCAAATTCACTGCCCTCTCTCTGACAGTGCCTATTACAGTGGATGCCTGAGGAAAGAATGTAAGACCATAATGCCAGTTGACTATTTCCTTGGTATGTTCCTATAGCTTCCAGCAGTTTCAGGGCTTCCTGAGCATGATCTTCTATCTAGGCTATAATGCTTAACAGCCCCTGATAAATCCGTCCTCCACATCCCCCATTTGGATACATGAAAGTTTCTTTCCCCAAAGTGTCCCACAGCAGAATTCCAAAAATTGTGTGTATGAAAAGTAATACACTTTTTGTATTGAATGTCTCCTGCTTCTCACACAATGACAGTCTCTACTCCCTTTTTGTATGCTATTTGTTAAGAAATCTCCTCCATTTGACTCTCAGCAATTGTTTCTTTTCTAACCTGAAAAGTCTCTTTGTACAGAAGCAGCTTTACAACCCTGAATATTCTAAAAATTTAACTCAAGGGAAAACTTCTCAAGAGCAACACACGAACAAACTCAGACCACAATATTTACATTTCTTATTTTCATCTCTTTACATTTCTTATTTCATCAGAAGTTCTTCAAAACTGGACACAGAGATATGCCAGACTCCACTGCTTGTGCAGACCTGTCCTGTAAGTATACAGAAGTTGGGTGAAACTGAATTAATCTTCTCACTACTTTCTCCCAAAGCTAGCCTTTCAGGACCTCATTCCAGATCCACTTAGAGATGCAGAACTGCAGACGAGATGTTTTGACTGAGGTCCGTACAGTACCTGCACAGAGGGCTAGTGGTCACGATGGGAGATCTGACCTGCTCTCTATTATTACTTATGGTAAATTCTGAAAACAAGACAGTTCAAATCAATCAGACAACCCAAGTGCCAGCAGGGGATTTAGCTGCCAATTCTCAAGCCACAAGCATGCTACTTTGTAGCAGCAGGGCCACAGACTTTTCAGAGGGCTATTTGTATCATATACACCAGAAACATAGTAACTTTACCAACTTTTCAAAGCATTTGGGTCATCAGTACAACACTAGCAGGAAACACTGCTGGAAGAAAATCCACAGTTTAAAAGTAGCTGAGGGATTACCTCTCTTCAAAAAGAGAACAGCATTGAATAATTTTGATAAGAACTTCTAAAAGCAAAGCACGGGATTTACAAGCAGCTGCAAACGAGGCAGCCAGCTAGCTCTAACACAGGGAAGAAACCAAGATCTCACCATTCAGACATATTTTCATCTGAGCCCTGCTTCTGCTCATCAGCTTCGCACTCCATCCGCTCCTTCCTTCCCCCTTTGCTGAGGAAGGGCCTGTTCTCTCCCGTTTCACAAAGGCCACGACTAGATGACGTCCAAGGCGCGTTTTCCTTCCAGCGTGAAAGACGCTGTTTCTTAGCTGACTTGAACCTGCAGCCCCTCTCGTAGTTCCACTCTGACACCCTGAGCTTTTGCTGCAGACTGGCAGCCACCTCCGATGTCACTCGTTTGACTTTCCGACGGCGCCTGAGAGGTCGACATGGCGCGTTCTCTGTAAAGGAGTCTGACTCATGCCACGAGTGTTGCTTGCTCCTCAGGGTGGCACTGAGAGCTGGATGTCGTTTGACCACTGCTGTGTCATCAGAGTCACTGAAATTGGCTGTCAGCACCTCCCGGCAATCCTTCACAGCTTCATCCAAGCTTGACTCTGAGGCCTCGCTGTAGCAGCAGGCGTGCTCTGCCTGATGCGTGAAGTCTGAGCGTCGCTTGCGACCCCGTCTCTTGCGAAGCTGACGTCCCTGCTGCCGTGGGCTTAGGGCCATCTCTTCCCATAGCTCATCCAGCTTGTTTTGTTCTGAAGTCTGCTCTAAGGCTGAAGCCAAGTCATGCACCAGTTCATCCATTGGCAACGCCTACTAAAAATGACAGCAAACAATTAGCACCAGACATAAATGTCACTACTAACACGTTGCTAAACTACAGTGTACTATAGCCTTAGTAACAATCACTGAGTTACACGCTTACTTTGAGCTGCCTGGAAGAAACAATGCAGCACAACTGCTGTTTCTTGGGCTAATGTTTACTCCTTCCTCCCTTTTGCAAGAGTTAAAGCCTGCTTCTAACCATGGTGGTAGAGACGTCACTACTGTGGCAGCTGGGTCAAGTGCTCTGAAAAGGCCTTACGGCTGCATCTTTTGCTTTGAAGGCATGTGCTCTATTACACATCTTAAGGGCGACAGAGCCTGCAGCTAGCTCCCTACCTGCTGTGATTGTGTTGGCTACTATAAGCCACAGGGATCAGCCCACACGGCAAGCAGACGGAAGCCTTCCCAAAAGTAGACAGGCAGCAAAGCTGGGAGCAAAACAAGAAGTAAAGCAGGCAGCTGGCAAGTCAGCACCAGCACAAGCCACACGGGACCCTGTGCTCCTTGCGACAGCGTGCGCAACACCGAGCCCTGCTTGCCACAGGCAGGCTTCCCACCCCTCCTCCCTCCGGGCTGTCAGCGCCCCAAACCCCTACCCCCCCCCAGCCACCTCCCCCTCCGTGCCACGATTCCCCTCCCCAAACCCACGGCTTCACACCCAGCCACCGGGCCCCGTCCCACAGCAGCCCCGGCTACCTCAGGCCGCCCCACAACGCCCCCCGGCCCCCTGCCGCGCACCGAGGCACGGCCCTGGGAGCCCACCGGGGCCCGGCCCAGCCGCGCCCGGCCCCCCGGCCCCGCTCACCGGCCCGCGGCCGCTCCGCCCGCCTCTCGCAACGGCGCTTCCGGCCTCCCCGGGCCGCTTCCTCCCCGCCCGCCCCGCCGAGGGGCGGGCCTGGAGCCGGGGGTTGGCCCGGGACGGGGCCGCGGCGCCTCCCGGAACGCCCCTCGGGGCCGCGGGGGGGAGCCCTGAGGGAGCGCCGCGGGATGGCGGCGGCCTCCGAGGGGCGTCCCCTCAGCAGTGGTCCCGTTACCGCCGAGCTCTGCCCCCCCCGAGCCGCCTCCAGGCGCTGTGGGGATGGGGTGGGCGCGGGGTGCCTCGACGTGGCACCGCCACCACGCCACCGAGGGTTACTGTCACCCCAAAACACAACGTGTCCCACATGGAGATTCCCCCCCCCCGGGTCTTTACATTCACAGCATCACAGAATTTCTAGGTTGGAAGAGACCTCAAGATCATGGAGTCCAACCTCTGACCTAACACTAACAGTCCCCACTAAACCATATCCCTAATTCCACCCCAGTGACCACTGAACACCTTCAGGCACGGTGTACGAGGCCCTTCCTGAAGCTCAGCACCCAGATCTCTGCTCTCCACACATCCCTTGATTCACTGCGTGTACCTTATCAGGCGCCGCGGGGCGGGTTATGAAGTTCTTATTTATGGAAATATCAGCCACCGGCTTATCTGACCTCTGGCCTGCCTGCGAATGAAAGTAACGTCTGCCCTATAGAAGGCCCGGTGTTCCTGATCGATTTTCTGAAGATTTGTGCTTTGGTAGGCCCTGTTGTCGGAGTCCCAGCCCGTGTCTCTACAGATCATTAGCTGCTAATAGAAGCTGTATGTTCGCAGCCCTTGTCATGCGCTCACTCTTGCGCTGCTTGATTTTTATTTTTGGTTTTTAATTGCAAGATGTAGGTAACCAGTAAACTAGGTACCCAAACTCCTCAGTTTCATTCCAGTGCTGACACATCAATTTTATATATCTGGATGAAACTTTGTTATTTCTCACGTTAAATCTCTCTGTGTAATTCCCCTGTCCTTCTTAAGCATATTCTTAAAATCACTCCCATTTTATAGGTCACCAGCAGTCATCAGTAAAGCCAAGTGTGACCCCACACTCACGTTTTACTTAGCTTCCCCTTTTGTTCCCATCTTTCCGTTTATTTAATCCACGTGGCAGCATTCATATTCAAGCCAATATTGGTTCATTTTTCAAGTAACATTTTACGAGGCAGTATATTAAAGGCTTTGCTGAAGTCCAGATATATTATGTACATGGCATCCTCTTCATCTGCTAATTTTGTAAATTAAATCAGAGAAAGTAATCAGCTTTGTCTGACATGATTTGTTCTCTATAAATCTACACCACTGCTTATTGCACATAGATCTATTATCCTTTGTATTTTTGCTTTTTTTTTTTTTTTTTTTTTCTGCTTCTATCCTGTCTGTGGCCAGGAACAGAAGTTATTCTGAAAGGCTGATAATTGCCAAGATCGCGACTTCACCCTGCTCCCCCCTAAAAGACTGGTACTGTGCTTGCTCTTCCTCAGTCCTCTGGCACCCTCCCTAGTTTGCTAAGATACTTCAGGAATAACCATAAGAGAAGCCTTGAGCTCGTGGCTGACTCCTACACCCCTCTAGGACAATCACCATTTAGCTTCACTGAGTTCTCTCCATGCCATTTCTCCAACTCATCCTTTATTTTGTTCTGAGCTGTCATTTTAACATTTTCATTACCTTTTAGTCGTCTGAGAAATTTCCATGGAAAAAAAAAATATTAAAAGAAGAAAAACAGTCATTCAGTAGATCGTTTTTATCCAATTCTTAATGTGTGACTTCAGCTAAGTTACTTTCTCTGCACCAATTCATCTCTAAATGTCTGTGCTTTTGTCGTTTTAACCCTTTCTATGGCATTAACTCACTCTATTTGACTGCAGCATTTTGTTTTCCTTGTCAGTTTCCTATTTCCAATACAGGGGTTTTCTTTTTACTCTCAGATCTGAGAGCCAATCCCTCCTAAAATCTAATCCTGTTTTACCGCTGCAATCCTTTTTCATGCTTCAGGATATAAAACAGCTACAAAATGTCTGGGTTAGAGAGAAACTCCCCTGATGGGAAGGTTATTCTGTAAACATCCACTTCAGAGCTTCTTACCCCTTCATTTCGATCACTCCGTGCTGGCTGCGGTTCTGGGCAGGACAACAAATTAGACAAACAGTTGTGTAAAAGCATTCCTGTGTTGGTGTGTCCTGGGCAGATGCACAACAGCAGATGCCCAGGCTAATTTCTCTTATTTTCCATTTGTTTTCCCAAACAGTTCTCTGCTGTTCTTTTGGTCGGCAAGCTGTTTTGCAACTGATATAAATTTTACTTCACCTGCCTATTTTTATTTTTTTTTTTTAACAAATTTCAGCATTTTAAACTAAATTTCAACAGATGTCAGCAGCTTCTTCCTGATTTGGGGGAGGTGGGGGCTGATTTTCTGGAAGAAGGTTAAAGGTAGCAGAAGTGTTTTTGCAATTTGCAAGAGTCACAAGAACTACTAATATGATCCAGAAATAGTTCATTCACAGTACAAGAAAGAAAAAAGAAAAAAAAAAAAAAAAAAAAAAGAGGCGCTAGGAGTGGGAGAAATAATAATGGGGCAATTGGGATAATCTAGTTTTGTACAGTTTATGATATTTCTGTTCTGTCTCACAAAGTCGAGAAGTGAGATGGTGACTATAAATTCTGAATCCTTGCCTGAGTTCAACGTAATCCCTCATCCCTGGCAAATTATTTAATCTTTGTGTAGTTTGTGGATTTCCTGCATGGACAACAGGAACTGGTCCATCTTCTCAACATTCATTTTGCTTGTGAAATGCTCTGGGCATGCAAAATGTTCAGCACTCTTATCCTAGCTGGATTGTTAGCCTTTCCTGGGCTTTGCACATGCAGCTATCCTTTTCCTGCCCAAAGGCTGTTGTGACCAGCACCAAACTGTTTCTGGGACTAGAGATGGGAGCGGAGATGGTGGTGGTGAGGGATGTTCCTGAGGTGAGCAGGAAAGGAAGGTCCGTGGGATGCTTACAGCACGTTGTTGCTGCTTCTTCGCCCAGCTCATGCTCCAGCTGGCACAGGGAGAGGTATGGCCTGGTAGGACGGGAGGAGTAAAGGGGTCGTTGCTCTACCCCCACAAATGATCTGAGTGGTCCCATGGTGCTTCTCAGCAAAACCTTCCAGGGGTTAAAAGGAAAAAGAGAGAGACAGAAAGGGGACAAGAGACAAAGGGAGGAATAAAGTCAAAAAATGTGCCGTGAAGCTTCTTGCAGCAAAATGCGGAGAAAGTCATTTCCAACTTCTTTCATCTCGGAGATGAAGCCACTAAATAAAAGGGCAGCGCAGAACACAAGGGCTTTTAATCTGTCTCATCTCCTTCATAATAACTGCAAATTTTCCCTGGGCTCCTGGGAGTGAGCCTCTTTCCTCTGTCTTTGCCTTATCTCCCCCCTCCATATTTCACAGCCGGCTCGGCTCCCCTCACTCGGCTGCCCCCGGCCTAGTCTCCGAGAGGCCTGTGGGAGCCGCCAGCTCCCAGGGCCGCATTGTTCCCGGCTTGGGAGGAAGCTCAGGGAGGGAATTGAAGGCAAGTCAAAGGGAAACGGCATCATCGCTGCTTCATTAATGGGAACCTTTCAGCAGAAAACATATCAGAGCGAGGTCTTTTCAGAGGCAGTAATTAGCAATTTGGAGCCTTCCCCCCTCAGGAGATGCAGCTGCGATCTAACAAGTGGGAGCAGTGCTCGCCTCCTTTTACGCTTCGTATTTATTGTTTTTCATTTTCTCCATCTTCCTCCCATTGTCCGGCCTCCTCCTCGCTGCCAGATAAGGGCCCTTTATTAATCGCTCCCTTTTAATTCTTCATTAATGATAATAACTTTCTCTGGCACGCGGAGAGGAGTTAATCTTTCCTGGGTATTGAGAAAGGACAGGGCTGAAAGGGAGGGAGCGAAGAAGTGCATGGTGGACAAGGCTGTACCACCACATACTGCCCTCCCTCCCCACCACCCAGAAAAAGCTCCTGGAGACTTTGGCTGTCGAGCCGTGAGATGCCCCTTGGAAAGTCCTGGGCTGACAGTGTGGATTTGGTAGGACAAACCCTGGCTCAGGGAGCAGGTATACTTGGGCCAGATGGAGGCAACTCCTCGGTGTCTTTGCCAAAAAGCCAGTGGATTGGTGTAACTGGTGGTCTGTGTCTACTCATCTTGCAAGAACACTCCCTCAGGCACCTTCAAAGCCTGATTTCCAAACTGCCGATATTGCCCAAAATTTAAATAGCACATGCAAGTGAAAAAAAAAATGTATCTGGGAGGCTCTGCACAGGACAAGGCCCTCCTTGGTGCCTCCCTCCAACCAGTCTGTTCTTTCTGAGCACTGAATGGAGATGCAGATCCAACCTCAGTCAGGATTCACGAGGGATTTACGGCTGCAAGCAGCTGGCTGAGCAATGACCATGTGTGGAGCATGTGGTGAGAGTTGTGACAATGGGCCAGTCCTGCTGATATGGCCAAGTCAAATTCCTATCTACTGTGGAGAGGGTGCTGTGAGCAAATGGGTGTGAGACAGCTTAAAGCAAACGTGGTTATTTCCGTGATAGGCAAGAGACAAAGCATCACAGATGCAGAGTTCCTCAGGAAAGAAATTTAAATAGTAAGAGAAACCAGTTTTACTTGGATTCTTCCATGGCAAGGACATTTATATATAGCATGCAGGGTGCTAATAGTGCTGTAACTTAGAAGTAAGTTACAAAAAGAGAAACTGAGTGCAATCAAGGCAGGAACTGAAGAACCACTAAACAAGTTACAGGAATACCCCTAGTCTTACAACCAAAATGCCAATCATGAAGCTCCTCATCTCTTACTTAACTCATTTTATTTGGTGATTTTCTTTACTTGGCAATAGATCACTGCCTCCTGTATAATTGTAACAGTCTGGGTTCTTGCTGTGGCTGCCTGTCCCCCAGCCATCGCTGGTGTAATAACAGTGGCCTCTGAGCCACCCAAAGGGGCACTCATCAGTCTCCCAGCTGGCCTCTAGGGCCCAGCTAAATTCTGTGAGTTTTCTTTGATGCTCAGAGAAGAAATATGTTCACTGTAGCTGCAAAGAGCTGGAAGTGGCACTGGTGATGCTGGTGGGCACTGGAACATCGTGGACGTTAATGTCGGGTGGCAGGAACTGGATGCTAGCTTGCCGTCAGCAAGAGCAAGCAGCATTTCAAAAACTGTGGGCCTCAAACACAGCCAGCAGAGCCGAATGCAGGGATCACCCACAAGGACTGGTGAAGCCTCAAGGAGGGTGAAATGATGACTTTTTCAGTTATAATAATTGTGGGTTTTGCTTCCTGAAGGTCCTCTTGCTCCCCTCCTGTTGTCCTTGCACCTTGTCATTATCTGCCTGTTGCAGTGAGAACACGGGAATGCAGAAGGTCTTTGTAGATAATGCTGCAGGGCATGCCACAAGTCTGCATAAAGCAGCCAAGCAGAAGAGGCAGAAGGCCTCACTGGCTGTATTGTCATTCCCAATTCAAGGGGAAGATGAAGATGTCCTGCTAGCTGCATGTATGAGCAGGGCTGGGCATTTCAGCCAGGGGCACACTTGTTGGAGGAGCCCTGAAAGTTGTTTGGCATCTGTAGGTTGGTCTGGGCCTGGTGCTGCTCTTTACACATGCATCTCTTATGCATATGGGTCTATAAATGCATAGCTTTAGAAAGCAACCAAGACAGCGTACCCTGAGTCACAAGTGTTACTAAAACCTTTGCACACAGCAGCAGCTGGGTCCCTGTCCCAGGCTGTACCTAACCTCCCTCTGCCCTCCAGTCCAGCCTGCAGCCAGGACTCCCCTCCCTGGGCTCCATGTGGTTGCTCATCCCTTCTACCATCTCTTTCTTCCTGCCCCGTGCATTTTCCTGGTCCTTACCTCTTGTTGCTCGGGACCTGAGCTGATCTGCAAGCCCCCACTCCTTGAGCAGATCCTGCTCACTGCCTTACCTGGCTTTCACGTGCTGGGTGCTGCGACTTTCCACGGCTGTTCCCAGCACGGAGCCCAGGCACCCCCTCCTGCTGCCCCATGCAGCGGCCAGGGGAGCCTGTGGTGCTGACATTGCCAAGCCTTTCGGAGGTTTGAGAGCGCTTCATGGTAAGGAAGAAGGCGGCAGCATGGATCTGCGGGGAGGGGGAGGGGAGCAGCCTGACAATCCCCTTCGAATTATAAACATATCCTCTTTAAATACATTTCTAAGGATAACATTTGTATTACTGCGTCCTGTGGCTGCTGATAGGGCCCTGCTTATCGCCTTGGTCTCTCCTCCTTTCTCTGGGCCCTGCTGGGAAAGGTCCCTATCTAGAGCCGAGCTGGCAATCCTCCGCCAAGCAATTGTTTCAGTCCAGGGGAAAAATTAATTTCTGCCTATCGTTAATTGAGAGAATTGTGTGGAGAGCTGGGAGGGGGGCTGGTGGGGGGAGTGGGGGATGGAGTGGGGAAGAGAGAGATCGTGTTATTAACAGTGTCCCTTTCATAACCAAATACCCTGATTTCCATCAGTGAGATGAGAGGCTCATTACAGCAAGAAGGTGATTAGAGAACTTGGAGGAGCTATCAGGCTGAGCAGGAGAGTGGCAGGGAATTCGGGAGGGACTTGCAGCAGAAGGGCAGCCGCACCAACCAACCATCCCCTCTCACCCTCACTGCCTTCTCCTCCACCCCTCTTCTCCCTGTCAGACCGTGACCCCCTGCACACATCGCAGGAAAAAGCCATGAAGAAGTTCCAAAGATCAGCAGTTTCAGCTGGAGAGATGCGTTATGTGGGGGCAGAGGCTACACGCTCATAACTGAAAACCCACTGGATATGACCAGGTCCTAAAGGCCCAGCTGAGAGTTCATTTCAATTCCTTCTATAACCAATGAAGAAGATGCAAAAAACATTGACCTCCTTCCAAGCTACACAGGGAGGTCATGCATGGTCATTCAGGGTGTCTCTAAATTGATTCCTCAACAGGTGGCTAAAAACTAGGGCTCCTGACCATCTCGATCACCAAAATTACATACAAGTAGAAGAAAACTACCCCTGATGCTACTCTGATCCAGCTTTTGCACCACTCTTTGCATGCACATCCCCTACAAGATATTTCCCCTGTTTTAGAGGTATCACTGCTGTGATACAGCCCACCAGCCCCCAAGCCATCTCATGTACCATGTGTACGTCTTCATGAATTTGCTGTCCTTCAGCTCACAATTGCTCCCCTGACAAATAGCTGCAGAATCCCCTTGATTCCTGACATTGCTAGAAATAACTTTCTCCCCCTTCGGGAAGGTAAGCAGCCTTGAGAATTCATCCAGCCCACATAAACATTAGGGGATGGGACTCGGATAAAAAGTTGAACTTCTCCCACCCTGCATGCGAATGAAGCAATGAAAAAAATCCATCAATTTAATTTTCCTTCTTTTTTAATATAAATCTTTGGCATCCCAGAACAAATCTGCAGTGGACAAGATGATAATAAAGATTCTACTTAATTAGAGCAATCTATCTAACCCATTGTTAATATTAGTTAATGCTTTAGTTATTAGGGTTTTTCTGTTATTAGTCCATTGCCAATACTGCACTTAAGACTGTTAAAAATCCTTTTCTTAGATGATAAAGGAGTCTTCAGCAAGTTCCAAACTGGAGAGAAAAGGTGCAACAGAGAAGTCAAAGTATCAACTGACCAGAGACAGACTGAAAACATGATGGGGACTGAACTCTCCCCTTCCTTTGATGAAAACCACTTCTCTAGGGTAGAGAGAGGGGCAGAATGTCTCACTCCCAAGACTCCAAGAAACTCGATATAGTATGGCACTCACCATAAATTGATGTGAAAATAGAAATACTTTTAGGAGGTAAATGGACTCATTTTCCTCTAAATCACACAGAACATGAAGGCAGACAGAAGCGTTCGGTTTCACAGTACACAGAGTTCTCAATAAAGTAGCACAAACAACCTCTCCTAACTCCCACCCCATGCAGATCTCCTACCTCTTCTTAGCCTAATCCCATCTACCCATGACCATGTGTTGAGCTCTAGTAATCTCCAGCTCCTCAGGGAGATCCAGACAGAATCCAAAGCAGACCCTCCACACAAGGCAAACCCTCCCATTTTAGCACTAAGTTTCATTGCTTTTAAGTAGAGGAAACACCCAGAAGTATGTGGCCTCTTGCAAAGCTAGCTGGAGGGCAGTGGTCACCGTGGTCCATTCCATCCTTAGCAATTTCTCTTTGTTCACTTATCCCCATGAGACAATTACCAGCAAACGGCAAATTGTTAAGACTGTGCCAACGGTTAATACTAGGCACAGAGCCAGACTCAGAAAACTTTGAAGTCAGAATGATTTGCGAGAACTTGTATATTTAGCCTTTCCTCTTTAACGCAGTCCATTTCTTGCTGATTTCTTGTGGAAATCACCAGTAAAATGGAAATGGAGGAAAAAAGCCTGTCATAGTTTGTGTTAGTCATGTCATCTCCTAAAGATGCTGAGAGCTCTGTCTTGAATATCTAGTATTATCAGTCAATTAATGAATAAAGAAGATCCCAAATTCGTAGGTAGCTTTGGTCTAATACAATTGATAATTAGGCCAACACAGACTTCGTGGCTCCTCTGCTACTCTGACCTCTGGCCAGAGGGGCACTGGAAAACAAAAAAAAAAAAAAATACAGTCACACAACCAGCAGTACTCAGCCCTGGGCAGTTGGACACAAGCATCCTCCAGCCAAGCCATAAAGAGCTGCAAGCTGGTGGTAGCCTCTGGCTGTGGATACCTAGTCTGAACTATTGTCCCGCACTTACATAACTGAGATTGTCTTCAAGTAGCGAAATCAAGGACTTACATCTCAAATCAAAAATGATCAGGCACTTGAAAAGCCTCAGCTGCTAGCTGCTTTCTGCCTCAGACAGTAGTCTGGCACCAGCTTTGCGAGGCTGCAGCAGTGAGGTCTGAGGAACAGCCTGCATGGCTGCTTCTCATCCTCTCACTCTCTGCAGCACATCAGGAAAATGGTAAAGAGGGGAGAGTGCCTGCTCAGCCTCCCACTAAATCCATCCCAGTTGATGGCTCTGAAGCATCAATTAGACTGACTAGTGTAGAATGAGACCAGGAAAGGGGGCAACTGGAATACATAAATGGAACAGAAAGGGAAGATGTTTGGAAGAAAAATATCCAAGTAGCGACAGTGAACCAAAAGCAGTGACTGAGGTAACTCCAGAAGGTGGATGGGAAAAAGAAGAGAGGATTACAGCTTCTCAGACAGGAAAAAGTGCTGAAAAGGAGAAAAAGAACAGATAGAACTTTAACATTAGAGATATAAGATCTTTGTGATCATTTCATTAAATGGGTCAGTGAGAAAACAACATAAAAGTTGACAGATGGTATACAAAGAGAAAAAATTAAAAGCAAATTAACTGAGGGAAGGTGGGAAACCAACCAAGAAAGTACCTGCAGCTTCAGCGCTACTGAACTGAAATGACCGATGTTCCTATTTATTTTTACTTTCTTGGCCATCACCCTGCATCTAACTTCTCTTTGCCTCTTTTTGTTGAGTCTGTCAGCATGGGATTCAAAAGGGACAGTGATTATTTTGACCATATCTTTCTGCATTATCATGAGTTACTCTAGATCTCGTAATGAGACAGCTAAAGAAGAAAGGAGAGCATAATTGAATGCCACCAAAGCACGCCGAACTACCTCAGCAATTAAGAAAGCTCCCTCCCACACACACAGCTGGTCCTGCTGAAACCCTTCTTGGTGCTCACAATGCTTGGGTGATGTCGAGGGCCAAATTGCAGTTAGCTGGAGCTCTTGGAGAGAATGGGACAAAGGTGCGAGTGCTGGAAACCAGTTCTTAGGGCAACTCAGATGCTCTGATGATCTGTTGTGTCCCAGGGCAGTGCAATCTGGGACAGGCCCTGCTCTGTCACGGGTGTATGCACTTCCCAGCATCTTTCCTCCAGAACATCAGTTCAGCACGGAGAAAGAAGTGAGAATCAGCCAAACTCATTGAACGAAAGAGAACATGACACCTGTACAAAGAGGGACAGACAGAGCTACAAGCAGAGAATGTGGGAGAATTTCAGGAGGAAGAGTTTGAAAAACAGAAATGTGACTACAAAGAGAGGAGAGTGAGGGTGAATTAGACAGAGAGAGATGGAGACAGGGGTCGTGTTTGGAGGAAAGAGCACGGGGGGAGAAAGGAGGGGGCAAAGTCCGAGGCACTCAGCGAGTTCAGAACAATCTCCATTCTCCGCAGCGCTTTCTGTTTAAAAAAATAAAAAAGGAATGATGGAGAAGGGGAGAGAGTCAGACAAGTTTAATGATGTGTGTTCAAAGCTCAGATTGGAAAAATGACAGAGAAAAGCAGCCTGTTTCGGCTCTAATAAATTGTTCTTTGCTGTAAGAGACGCCTGTCGCAGCATTAATACAGGGCCCTAATACACGGGTCAGGGTTAAGTAATTTTCTCCGGCAACTTAAGCGAATAATGAAGCTGGCAGCGGCTAGTGGCGCAGTGGGAGAGATGGCCCGGGCCGCCAGCACTTTGTCTTCATTTATTATGCCAGCTCTCATGATTTGGGTACTGGCTGCAGCAACGGGAAGCCTCCGCCGAGGAGATATCGCTTCATTTCGGCAAGGTAATGAAAGCTGGGATGGGGGGAGGATAAACCAATTTGCTGGCTGACATGGGAAGGAGTGATTTGCAGACCTGGGTGAGGGAGGGGGGTGGCCAAGCGAGAGGAAGCACAAGGCTAAACCAAGGGGGGTGCTCAAGGCCCTTCCCTGAGATAATGGCACCATGGTTGTGGGGAAGGCAATGGAAGATCAGGCAGGAGGGGATGGTGGGGCTGGAGCACAGGAGATACCAGCTCCTGAGGGGGCAGGGAGCAGGGAAGAGCCACCAGGGAGGACAGCAAGGGTAGGAGAGAGGCAGAGGCTGATGGAAGAAGCAGCGGCTGGAGCAGGTTCAAGGGCTGGTGGAAGTGGTTAGTGGAGCAAAGCTGAAGAACACGCAGTGGTGGGATGAGGAAAGACTAGCAGAGAGCAGCCGTGTTGGGGAAGGCAAGCACAAGAAGCAGGGTGAAAGGGAGAACAAATAAGGTTGTTTTGTCATTGATGGTAAGGGAGACTCATGAGCTCCT